ATGTCTCAACACCCAACTCTCCTTCATCTCCTTATACTTCCTCAAGTTCAAGCACTTTATCTCAAAGTTCAACTCCAAGAAAAATGAAAAGTTTTAGTGATGTGTATGTTTGATACAATTTTTGTGTGGTTGAACCCGAAAGTTTTGAAGAAGTAATTAAAGAAGATGCTTGGAAGAATACAATGTAAGATGAAATTCGTGTGATAGAGAAAATAGAACTTGAGAGTTGGTGGAAAAGCCAAATAATAAAGAAGTCATTGGAGTGAAGTGGATTTATAAAACAAAGCTTAATCCAGATGGTTAAATTCAGAAAAATAAAGCAAGGCTTGTAGCAAAAGGGTATTCACAACAATCCGGTGTCGATTATCAAGAGACTTTTTCTTTAGTTGCTCAATTTGATACAATAAGGCTTCTTATTACTCTTGTTTCACAAAGGATCTAGTTTTTCCTTCAATTAAATGTAAAATCAGCATTCTTGATTGGTGTGTTGAAAGAAGAAGTTTATATATAGCAACCTCAAGGCTTTGCGGTCAATGGTGAAGAAGAAAAAGTGTACAAGCTAAATAAGCCTTTGTACGAGTTGAAACAAGCACCTCGAGTGTGGTATAGTAAGATTTATTTCTACTTCAATGTAAAGGGATTTTAAAGAAGCAAAAGTGAGCCAACCTTGTACATCAAAATGCAAGGTAATACCGGTATTCTCATTGTGTCACTTTATATTGATGATTTGATTTTTACCGAGAATGATCAAAAAATAATTGAAGATTTTAAATGAGATAATGAAAAGATATGAAATGAGTAATTGAAACTTCTTGGGCATTAAAATTTGTCAACAAGAAGATGAAGTATTTATTTGCCAAAGAAAGTATGTAAAATCTCTTCTTGAAAAATTAAAAATTGGTGGCTACGCCTTTGATTGCGAATGAAAATTTGTTAAAAGATGATGGAACTAAAGAAGTTGAAGCATCTTTTTATAGAAACTTGATTGGAAGTCTTTTGTACTTGACAACTACAAGGTCATACATCATGTATACTACAAGTTTATTATCTCGGTTTATGCATAAACCAATCCAAATTCATTTTGGGGTAGCGAAGAGAGTGTTAAGATATATTCAAGAAACACTTGATTTTGGGATTATATTCAAAAAAAAATTTGACTTCAAGTTACTTGAATTTTGTGATAGTGATTGAGCTAGAAACATTGATGATGTGAGAAACACTTCGAGCAATGCATTCTCACTTAGTTCAAGTGTATTTTCATGGGTGTCAAAAACCCAATAAAGTGTGGCACAATCATCGGTTAAAGCTGAATATATTTGAGTATCATTAACTACTTTTCAAACAATTTGGTTAAGCAAACTCATGGAAGATATTGGTGAAAAGTAAGGTGAACCAACTCCAATTTTATGCTCTAATAAATCATCTATCGCCATGGCAAATAATCTCATCTATCATAGTCGAACTAAGTACATTGCAATCAAGCACCACTTTATTTAAGAAGATGTGGAAGATGAAAAGATTCAAGTTAAATATTGCAAGATCAAAGATCAAGTGGCAGACATTTTTACCAAAACAATTTCTATAGGTAAGTTCAAGTTTCTAAGAGATATGTTGGGAGTACAACAACAAAGTATTAAGGGAGAGTGTTAAAAATAACATATTAAATAATACTTAATTGTTAAGTGTATCTAGTTGATTTGGCAATACAAGTGGTTGAGTCTTTGACTCTTGGGTTCTGTTATGTGGTTAATGATCTAGGAGAGTGAGTAATCAAGATGTATCTTTGGAACCTATATGTATGTTGAAATTATGGAATACATGTATAAAAATTATTCCTAAAGACTAATTTACACTATCTTTGTTTTCTCTATCATAAATATACAAAAACTGAAATTATAGCCAACAGAATTTACCTATAATAGCGAAGTGGATAGATCTGCTGGAAAGGATCAATCTCAAATAGTGTATGGGAGGAATCCAAGTCTGTTTGTTAACCTTGTAGATATCAATTTAGGCAAAAGTTTGTGATAATGCTATTGCTTAGGTAGAAAATTTTGAGGGATTCAAAAAGATGTTCGAAAGAAGTTGATGAATATAAACTAGCACTACAAAGAGTCTACTGACCGATATCAGAAGTTCAAAAAGTACCAAGATTGGGATTGAGTCATATTTCCCATCAAAAAATGGTGCATATCACAAGTTCAAGATCAAAAAGATTGGCCTTCATAAAAACTTGCGTAAATTAGATGAGATTGTCTATGGAGTTGAGCTCTCTCATGGCCTAGCTAGAAATGTCACCAATCTTTAATTTGGCAAATGTCCATAGTTTACTTGGCGATTTTAAAGTTGAAAAAGAAGATGTTGCAAATGAAACCCTGAACCAAACTCCTATTAATGAGAATGATTGGGTTAAAAACGTGATTAAAATGCGGAGAAATAAAACCCTACCAGGTGCTTACTTTCTATTCCTTGTCAAATGGGTCGAAAAGTCAGATTTTGAGAATAACTATTCCAAGTATTATTAATGCACGTAAGACGAAATCGATCTTCACACCACGTTGTACACACATGGCAAAAGAGTCTTTTTCAACATGAACACCAACCTGATCATTAAATCGTCAATAACTTGTTTTGATTGTTGCACTAGAATCATCAATTAAACTCTAATTGTTCTACCAGGATTTTTAATTTACCTCTGATAGTTCTGTCAGGATCATCAATCTAGCTCTGTTGTTGCACCAGAAATGTAAATTTAGCTATGATACCACTTGTTGGAATATAGCATTGATATCACTTGCTGGAACATTGTTCTGATACCACTTATTGATTTTGCACAACGGATAATTAACACAAATAATATTTGTTTGAAGATGAAAATTCAAAGATAGGACAACAATAAAACATGACATAAAGATATAACGTGGTTCGATAAAGTATACTCATCTTGGTATACTGTACCTAGATCTACAGACCAAAAACCTACATTGATATATTATTCACTGAAAAATTAGTCGTCTTGTAATTAATTACATAATACACATTCTATTTATATGGATAAAATATTGTAACCAAAACATATTCAGGTGCAATTTGATTTTTATGCTTCCTATCACATGTCTAATATACCTATTCATGATATAATAAAACTCTTCCAATATAATTCATATATTCCATATAAGATTTTCATATTGATTACCCAACAAACTTTTTTGATAACAATTAAAGAGTTTTGAGTCATATATCAAGTATAAAAAATGGCAATTCGAACATAAGTGAGTTCTTTCTAAAGAGAGGAGAATGATGCAAATCATTTGAATGCAAGTGAGTTGATAAAAAAATATGTTTTATCAATGGGTCTTTGATCCAATGATACTCCTTACTTTGTGAAGGGTTTGTCTTCTCGAGGTCAAAAGTTCAATCTCCCTTTCCCCCTCCCTCACCCTCCCCCTTCCCCTCCCCATCCCCATCCCCATCCCCATCCCAATCCCAAAATAAATAAAAAATAAAAATCTGTTTGCATTTTTAGGTCATTTCAGATTCTGATCCTAAAATGGCCCAACTCAACCCAAGTAAAGGGCTATTTGAATATCTTGGGTATTGTGTGACAAAGGTTGCATGTTTGGGTCTTTAGGAAGTATGTAGGTTCTTGGTGTTTATGCGTGAAGTATATAATGACTTCCTGGGCTGGTATAAAAAGTTGTCAGTCTCTTTTTTAGCAGTTTTTGAAGTTCTTGGTTGGAGGATTCCAAAACCAACCAGGGTCTTCAAGTGTTGGAAGTTTCGATTTTGAGGATTCGACCCTGTGGCGCTTACCAATCTCTTTGTTGCTACTGCATGCAAGCAATTAATTCCTTAAAAGGATGCAATTCTCATAGTTTCTGCTTTAGTGTGGTTTAGAAAAGTTTCAAAATCAAATTTCCTTTGAAGTGCCGAGAACATAGGTGATCCTGTTGATATGATGTATCATCAATTGCAGTAGCCGTTATATACATATGTAGGGTTCAAATTCTATTTACTGAGTTGAAGTTGCGGGACTTCACTTTCTGTAGAAATTCTCTAATTACTGCACCTATTGGCATTGTATGATCTGAAATCTCTTTTTGTTCAAATCTTAATGACATAAGCCATCCCCTCTTTGCATGATCAAGCACCTCATCAGAAAATGAAGTCAGTAAATGATAAACACCTAAAACCAGTAAAATTATAAACATTGAGCCAAGTTATAGTTCACCTGCTCTAGTACTATGTGGTTGCTTGCTTGCATATTAGGGTTCTACAGCTCCTTAAATGATATGAGCGCATATTCTTGTTGATTATCATGTTTAAGCTTAACAGGTGCCAATAGATAGGAAGTCGCGTTCTAAGTCTTGCTTCATAAAATCAAATGCTTGCAACTCTATTCTGACTTATCAATTAGGATACCATTATGAATCAGGTCCACGGAATAACAACAATCATGACTACCGGATCACGTACCTCACTGATATTGGAAAATGGGGCATTCTAATCTGAAGTTAAGAGTTACTTACAGCCAACATAAATATGATGTGTGATGATATCTATGTTATGTGAGAGTTAGGTGGAGTTCTTTGAATGGAAAATCTAACTCGAGTGTAATTGTTATCAAGTTAAATGAAATTTTTGTTTGTGTGCTCAATCTTCTCCTCTACTTTCCTTTTTTAAAGAGTTAAATTATATGCTCTTAGCATTCTTGTCTACTATCAGAGTGATATTGGACCAGCTCCAACAATGTTGCAGTAGTGGTGACCTTGGCATGCACCAGATGTAGTACCATCATATGACAAGATTTTTCTCGTGTTTGTCCATAAAGGAATTTATGTTTCCCTCTCTCTCTCTCTCTTTGTATGCACGTGTGTGTGGTAGGGAGAGTTGTCTTCTTTTTGGTTTCTATGCATGTTAATGGTTGATGTAAGTCCTTATATACCATGCATACAAGAAGTTATTCTGGTGCACCATCTAAACTTTTCTTTGCTTGTAGCATGGAAAGCATTCTGGAAAGGTATGAGCGATACTCTTATGCAGAGAAACAGCTCATTGGAATTGATTCTGTACCACCACAGGTATTTCACTTGACCAATCTACGAAATCATATAGTACTAGGGGCAAGTCCGGATTTGAACCCTAGGAGGACCAATTAATTAGAGTAGAAAAGATATAACTTGCACTCAATGGGTCCCTATCAGAATACTCATACTTGGATGTTCCTTTATCTGTCTCAGTGATTGAACCCATGTCTACTCAATAATAGTTCTCAGTTTACCGCCATTCATTACAGCAATAACCTTTGTAATCCTCACTTGTTACTTTTGCTTTTATTTTTAGATTTTTCATTCTTGGTATGTCAATCATCAGTAAGTACTCGATCAATCAGTTTCTTCTTCTGTTCAAGATTTGGATTCCTATATATCCACCCATGTGGTACTTTATTATAAGATATATATAAGATCCATGAGCCATCTGTTTGTAAATAGCTGAACATGTTAACGTTTCGTAAGGTAAATGATGAATGCAGTTTTCTCCCATCTGTTTTCTTCTTTTCTTTATCTATATTACAATTTATTTTCTTTTGTTGCATTTCTATAGGAAAGCTGGTCTCTCGAGTATCCAAAGCTGATAGCTAAAATTGAGGTCTTAAATAGGAACATAAGGTAATAATCTTGATCTTGCCTGGTTAAGAAATGCTCAGAAATTCTCTTCCTTCAGAAGCCAAGTGGGGCTTGTCTGTTCTGCGACGTCAATGGAACATGGTATGCTTATTCAAGATTTTGAAAACTACCCTCTGATTGTATGCCTCAGGATAGAGGAAAACTGCATATTTTCTGTTTTGATATTCTCTTTCAACCAGATACAGATTGTGACAGTTCAAAAAGTAGGAAAAAATGTTTTCAAATCGGAATACATAATTCATTCGATAATATTGATCTACATAGTCTATTAGATTAAATTCATTCCATTTCAATCTCTCATGCTTATGCTAGCAGTATCTGATCACTTGCTTCCTAATTATTAATAAAGTTTATATCATGGATGATGCATGTTTTGTACTAAATTTTTTCAGGCACTATGTGGGAGAAGATCTTGATCCCTTGAGCATGAGAGAGCTTCAAAGTTTGGAGCTACAGCTTGACAATGCTCTCAAACGAATACGAACAAGGAAGGTAAAGGGTCGTCTTCTTTTTTCTTTTTGCAAATTCTTTCAACATAATTTAACAGGTAGTGGTATCTTGCAGTTGTTACTCATTGTATTACCACCTTATTAATTTGCAGAACCAACTTATGCACGAAACCATTTCCGAGCATCAGAAAAAGGTAATGTTATTGTTGTGGTTGTTTGTGTGCGGACATGCACGCATGGACATGCTTAATATGACTTTTGAATTTTAATGCGCTTTCCCCCACTTGCTTTCCCCAAACGAGCTCACTTCCCTAAAAATTGGATCTATCTCTTCCTGTCTGAATGTATTCAAAACAATTGCTTTCTAGATGATCCCTCTAAAAAAAGGTAATTATAACAATCTTTCTAGTTATTTTGTTCTCTATTTCTATTTGAAAGAATCGTGAGTACAAGAATTTTGTTTCCATTGAGCTGTTTAGGATAGGCTGAATTTCAGCTTTTTGCAATGAGAAATATAGGAAATCTACACACCATGTTCCCCAGAACTGCAACTAGATTTGTGAGGTGTGTTTTTGCATAAGTCTTATAGTGTTCTCTCTCTCATCCAACTATCACAAAATTATGAGTTTCTTTTCTTTTCTGGATTGGTTGTTTTATAGTGTGACGACTTTCAGTGCTTAGGAGTGATCAAGAATTTTTATTAATAGGGGAGGAAGGAAGTGGAACTCTGTATGGGGCTCTAATGTATGTGAACTCATGCTGTAATTTTTGGCAGGAGAAGACATTGCAGCAGCAAAACAGCCTACTGGAAAAGAAGGTAAAGCTATATTGTTAACCAAAAAACAAAGGAAATGATGAATAAGATCAATTAATCATATTTCTGACTGCTTGACAATTGGAGTCTGAAATCATATCTTGTATGGTTGAAAAACTAAAATGGATTTAAGGTTTTTTTCTCCTTCATTTTTTCGGACAAATGTAAACAGCTCAAGGAGATTGAGAAGAATAGGGCTGAGCGGCAGGAGCAAGAAACCTTAGGCCAAAATTCAACCACCTTCATGTTGCCTCCACCTCCACCACCACCACCACCATTTCCACAGCTTACTTCTCTATCAATTGGGTATCCCCTCTCTCTCATTTATACACACACAAACACATTTTCTTGATAATCCAATTGATATGTGTTTGCTTTTGAACTTTGCAGTGGCACTTTCCAGGGTAGAGAAGGCTTAAGCAGAGAAAATGGAGTTCAAGCTGGACCACCCTGTTCTAACTCGGCCATACCACCTTGGATGCTTAGTCTTGTTAACCAATAAAACGGAGATGGCTCAACGCTGCTCCTTTCCGGCATAAGTCTCGGGTCTATGCTAGACCTCAACCCTTTCTGTGTGAAGAAAGGTTTAACTTCTTGCATTAGTTGTTTGTATCTGCAAGGATATATCTATGTTCTTGTATCTAATCCGTAAGATTCGCAGAAAGAAATGTCAAGTGGTACCCCCCTTGCAGCAGACCCTATCTCCCTTCATAATTTTCTCTTTCACATTTCGCCATGAATGGACATCACAACCATGAATCAAAAATTTGTTTCAGTATATTTATTTCGATCACTTGAGAAATGAAAATGTTTTGATGTATTTTGAAAACAGAATAAAAAAAATAAAAAAGTTAAGAATTATTTTTTCAAAACATTGATTGAAATATATGAAAGTACCTTAAAATATTTTGAAATATTTTGAAACAATTGTACAAATGTATTGAAATATTATAAATTATCTCAGTATTATAAAAACACTTTAAAGTATTAGAATTTTGATTCTATTATTGATTTGTTTCGATCTATTTGAAATAAAAATATTTCAAATTTTTCGATCGTTTTGAAACAAAATTTTGATCCTCGATCACAACTAGCTCTGCGTATCGTGATATGGTCTACTATAGCTCTGCCTATTGCAAACAAGTTGGTCATATGGAGCAATCAAAGTTTGGTCATGGAGTCCCACATTGTTTAGTGAGCAGTTTTGAACTTCTTAGGACATGACATAATCTAAAACAGATAATTTTGTACATCGTGAGTAGAGAATATTACAATTAGTACTAGAACCATTGACGACATAACAATCAATATCAAAAACCAACGACCCTTGTGCACTTTGGTCAGAGTCTGGACAAGTTCCATATGAGGACATGGAGTCCTAAGAAGTAGATTGCAATGACTAAATCCCACCTCGATTGGTAAAGTGTGTGAAATGCTTCTGTAAGTCTAAAAAACAAACCTAAATGAAACAAGTGATAACAATAATTGTTATACATATATGCCTTATCATAACCACAAGGGGTTACCCTTCATCCAAATACGACAGTTCAATGTTTAATTCTGCTGACAAGATCAATGATACAATAAAAAAAAAGAAGAGCAATGATACAATAGGTGATCAACTAATCATAGAAAGTGACAGAATGAAAAGCACAAACAGCACCATGCATGTTGTTTTCTCAGTTCCTTTCGTCACCGAACTCATCATCTCTATAGTTGCGATCACCACCATCAAGGATATGCTCCCTGTTAGATGCAATAAACTTGTTAAGAGGGCTTAATGATCATATGTTTTCAAGGCAGAAGGAGATGAAACACAAAACTTCTGCAAAGTCTAGGATCAAAGTTTCGACACCTAGTGGAGATAATTAGGCACACAATTCATGATGGAAATTTAACTATGATAGCCAGCTATTTGTGGTTCTTCAAACTCAAAAGATCTTGTTGATCCGAATAGTAATGGGAGAGCCAAATAAACTGAACAAGTTGGAGCAGTAGTCCCTGTGGCGGTTATGTTGTTCAGCTGGGCATCAAGACTTGGGATGATAAACTCAGAGCATGATTAATAGCATGGTCATGAAGTTATCAAGCCTTCAATCCGGAGATGAAAAAGATGTAAAAGGCGATTCATGATGTGAATGATAGCTTTAGCCATTGCTGAAAAAGTCAAGTATCCAGCATGGTTCTACATATGCAAGGTGCTGTCAGGCGGTAGACTAGAAAGGGATAACTCTTGGCATATCTGCAGAAAGTGGCCGCTTTCAGACTCAGAGCTACACTTATCGAGCATGATAGCCATGCTACGTTACTACTCAACTAATAAAACCTCTAGCTTTAGCATTCTGCACAAAGTGGCTGCTTTTAGACACGTACTACTCAACTAATGGAACCTCTAGCTTTAGCATTTATTCAAATATCATTTGGGTCTCTAGTAAATAGTTCCAAGACCCAAACAACCTAAACTTATTCCAGCATCACTTCCAAATGACTAGATGTGCCAGACCACAATCTGAAAAATTATTTTCCTTATTGGCTTCTTCCACAAATCGTTTGCAAGGAAACGGGGTGGATCAAGATACAAAGTTCAGTACATGAGAGGCCAATAAAATGGACTTGTGGAAAAGAAGACTTAACACGACAATATGGGGTCGTCAAATGATTTCAGCCATTAGCCAAACAGGAATGACAGTGTAAACTTCATGCAAATGGTAACTCCTTTGAACAAGAAGACAAATTATTCTACAGGATACCAGAAGCAAATATGCTATTAATAAAACCAATACCGCAATCTTTCACAAAGGCGTGCTAAAGCATCTGCTCCAGTTCTGGATGCAACATCCTCAATCTCAGAAGCATTTGATATTGTCACACTGTCCGCAAGCCTGAACTCACACAACTCTTTCAGGGAACAAGCATCAGTCAACACCGCTGAATGGCCACCACCAGCCGCCAATTTCCTTACTTCCCCAACACACCTACACACACGCGCACATGAAAACAAAATCCATCAACAATTCTAGAGGAGTAAGTTTGTTCAAAATTTTAATACTTCATACACAAATACATATTTGAAAGGTTCAATTAATTGGCTGATAGACTCAAAAGTCTAGTCTAGAGGAGTTAAAGGATGGGAATAGACAAGATTCAGTTCCGATACAGTACAAATAAATAGAATCTGGTATCCTTTCATTTCTTTGTATTTTCTTTCATATTCTATTTCTTCATTTCTTTTCCTATATCATACCAATCAACTGGAGATGGATACCAAGCATATATAGATTTTTCATTAGCTGCCTGACCATAGCTATTGTAACCCCATCCATGAATTCTTCCATCTCTAGTAGAGATAAGAGTATGACAATGTCCACAGGCAATAAGTTGAACGCCAGTTGGGATAACCAACACCGGAATATTGCGAAGCATCATTTCGGAATCATCCCGAATGCATGAGAAGAATCCAGTCTGAGGGCCAAGCCCCAACTGCCCCACCTGACCACCACCCCAAGCATAAAGAGCTCCCTTTACAGTCACAGCACATGTATGGACGCCTCCACATGCAATATTGCTGACAGATACCCCATCAAGAGCAACAACGCGCCTTGGCAATAGTTCCTTGTCCCCAGACTGAAGAGAACAATGCCCAAGTTGCCCCATACTACCTAGGCCCCAGGTATAGCTGTGAAATCAAAAGCAAAAGTATTGTGGTTGATGAAGTACTTATCAGAAATTGAGATATAATACAAACAAGATCACAAGCAATATGACGAAGAAAGGGAGAATAATCTTTAATGACAAGTCCAAAGCTAGATCCATGACTAAGGATGGCCAGGAAAAACTGAAACTATCCTCAAAATAAGCAAAATTGTGGGACCTATTGTAATTTAATCAACAAAAATATTGCATTCCCATGGGGAATGAAAAATTTGGAATAAGTAGTGTGCTTTTTATGAATATAGATATGGAAGCTAAGGGCACAAACTGGCCAATAAGATGTCCCCCATGTCCATTCATCCTGTCTCCTCATTAGATGTGAGGATTCCAAGACAATTCGCTATCCAGATCTCCAAACAATTTGACCTGTGCCATGCGGATAACCACAATTCTCATGCTTAACAGTAGAACTATCTCCATCAAGAAAAATCCTTCAGAACACTTACACCTCGCCTTTCTCCGATATAGCTGCTGTGTGGTACTCCCCGCATGACACTTGGGAAATCTTCACCATCTCGGGTGCTTCGTCAAGGAACTTAGCATATGCATTTATAACCCGAGCCCCCTGAAGCCCTTCACAAGTAACACCTCTGCCAAGCTGACCATATTCATTGTACCCTGGTTTATCACAACAGTGACAATAACTGATCAATACATTATGACACCAGGGTGAAGATGTAGGCTCCCTTTCCTAAACTGCAAGATCAATGTAATACCAGAGTGCATACAGGTAAACTTGAACAGCTAAAACTACTCTGCAGTACTTGTGCATACTTAGGTGGGTAATTTTATCAACTAAATTAAGTACATAAAAAAAGGATGGACTTATATATATGAAATCAGTTTTAAAATTTTATCAGTAAAGTCATGTCAGAAAACCACTACCCCAGGCTTGTAGCAGGCCATCCTCAGATAAAGCTACAACATGAAGAGCCCCACAAGAAACTTGGCGAACAATCTGCAACAAATGATACATAAACAAGATTACGACCACACAGTGTGACACATTCAGAAATTACTAGAGGTTTGGGAAATAAATTTGAACAATGAGGTTTGACATGAAATTACCATGGCAAACAAAGACCATATCATGAAGAGAAACAATAGGGAAACTAATTGCACATCTCTAACTCGACTGGTGACTCTGTCAAACAATCTTTCTATGCAATTACGAACTAACTGAATCATTTCTAACACATTGCAAAAGTGATTTCACTAGTTTAAACAAAACTACAGTAAGTTTACGCCACTAGCACCATAGTAGGCACATTGTTTAGCTTGAAAACAACTTGAACTATGGACTCTGTTTCGAGCCCTTGTTATTTTTAATCATTAACTGTCAATTTATTAGACAACACCATCCTCAAGCTTAGAAGAGAGATGTTCATACCGTGTTTGGAGTAAAGGCTCCCCAATAGAGACGGGGATAATTAGATCCCTGTGAAGACATAGAGAAATGATACTCATAAAGCCGTATCAAAGATCATGTTAAAATAATGAAGCTAGTGGACTAACTGTAGAACCTGATTTTGTCCCCAAACCCAGAGTCTTCTAGTTGAGATGGTTCCATCATTTTCACGAGGTTCTGCAATAGCAGCGGTACAATGTGCTCCACAAGATACAGATATCACAAATTCGGTCTGTAATTGCTTCACTTTTTTCGGTTGTTTCCTACCTTCCTCCATTCCATCCCCCAACTGACCAAACTCATTTGACCCTGCCCGAGAGCAAGCGAAGATGGTTATCAATAGTTTAGGATGTATAAATGCGAATGGGAAACCATCTATTATTTGTAATAGATGTTTCGCCCAAGCAAAGACTAACCAGCCACAATGAATCATAAAGCTGATCATAGTTGTTAATTTGTGAATTCTCACCTAATCTCCCTTGAGATATAGAGGATCTAAGCTTCTCTACAGGTATTTTGGTTTTCTATTTAACTCAAGGAGTTGAACCTAAATCTGAACATCTTCCAGATGTTGGGGTTCGGCAGATACTCATTAGATGAAAAAGGAGTTTGTTTTGAAGCACTACTGGTTTCACATAAACAACTTGCCTCAGGCAAAATTCCTGGAAGTGCAGGAAGCATCCATCAACACACTCACAGAATTTTAACAACTCAATAAAGTTTCATCCCAATTATTTGGGTCTGCAAATGATAACTAATGAGGACATAGAAATTGATTATAGTCAATAGATCCCACATCATAAAGATAGAGAGGAAATAATATTAAACCCAGAAAACCTTGAATTCAATTATGATACAAATGAATGAAGAGACTAACCCCAAGTAAAGAGCGAGCCATCGGAGGCCACCGCTGCAGTATGCTCTCGGCCACAAGCAATATCCAACCACCGAGAATTACCTCCAGCCGGGCATCCAAAAAGCTCTGGAGGAAGCTGTTTTGGGATCCTCAAGCTTGTCTCTTTACCATTCCGACCAGTTTGCCCAGATTGGTTGTAGCCCCATACGTAAATTGCGCTCTTTGTTGGAAGACTCAAATTTGATCTAGATTCACCAAAAATCTCAAGAATATCCATTTCATCACAAAACCCTAGAAAGAATAGACCAACAGAAAAAAACTGAGAAAGAATTCCACTTCCACAAAAAGAATTAGGCAACAAGTAAAAACTACAGGTAGGAAATGCTTTGTTCTTGTTTGGTTGCTGAGAAAATGTAGTAAAAGAAAAGAAATTTACGTTATTAAATAGAATTTCTCATGGTTTCAGACCCCGAGAAAACCAAAATCATCGCCAAGACAAGTTAATTAGCCCAAGAATGGAGAAAGAAACTGAGATTGGGATACGAGGAATGAAGGAAAAGAATTCACCTACTATCAGGGAAAAAGAGTGATTTTCCCCCGACAATCCAATGAATACATTGTTGAAGAGAGAGAAAATGCGGGAAAAGAATGGATTTTTGATCGTCGAAGTTCCGAAGACTTTGGGAAGGTATCTATCTCAGTTATGGTGTCCGAAGCTCGAATCTCAAGACAAGACTTGCACGTTGCAACTGACTAAATAGAAAATCTGACGTCACAAGATGGTAATTATTTACATTTACATCCCCATATCTTATTAGAATACTAAGTCATACAAATGCCTTAACACGCCCTGCTGCGACACTACAAATCCAACATTAATTGTGTAATATTTTTATATTTAAAATAATAAATTTTTTAATTATTAAAATTAAATTAAATAAATAGAAAATAAAAAAGAGATTGGAGGATAAATAGAAATTAAGTTAAATTTTGTACCTTTTGAGTCAAAGTAGATTAATTTTCATTATTATTATATTTTTATAAATTAAAATTTTAACTACATAAATGTAAAATTAGATAGATTTTTAAAATATTTGGCTTTGATATCATAGTTTACAAATTTTTTAGGTCAAAAAATATATTTTTTGGGGTTAAATTACAATAAAAAATTAAAATCAATTTTAAATTCAAATTATACTATTTTTGATATATTTTTTGAGGTATTTCAAAAAACACTTTTGCGTTAACCGAACGCTTTTGTTGAGAAGATAATAACCTTTCCAGGTATGCGTCTGGTCTGTCTCCATAGAATCCCAAATTTCCGAACATTCCAGGTTTGTTTTGTTCCTTATCTGCAAAATTTTGAGCATAATATACCATAATTTTGTCCTTCGTGGCCTGGGTTGTTTGAATTTCTGAAATCAAGTCTCTTTGATTCTTGGATTGAATGAGTCTATGTTTATTTTTTTAGAATTCCTTGGATTGTTGGGTGTTTCTTTCCAAATTAATGAAAGATAGAAAACTCCTTTGGTGAATCATTGTACTTTTCTGTATAGGTATCAGTAAAACTATGTGGGTGTGAGGATGTAACCATTTCCACTCCTTACTCAAATGTAAACTCAAACTTAAATTTGGGTAAAAAAGAGCTAAAAAATCTCTCCGATCTTTGACTCAAAACTTTTATCGAAAAAGCTTCTTCTTCTTCTTCTTCTTCTTCATCTTCACTGCAGATCTACTCCTTCCCATGGAAGCTACGGAGGATTGTTTGATTTTATGTGTGGCTGCAGATCTGCTCCTTCCCATGGAAGCTACGGAGGATTGTTAGATTTTATGTGTGGCTCCATATCTGCTCCTTCCTATCAGCCTCCTTCAAAAATTTTTGTGTGGGTTTTTGTTTTATTTTGTGGAATAATCGGTCGTGGGGTCGATGGAGGATTGGGAGATTTGTTAAACCAGAAAGTTTCATTTCAACACAAAAGTATTCTGTTGAAATCCTATCTACAGACAAATGTTTTAGAAGAAAAAATTTATAGAAATGAGTTTTGGGACAATATGGGAATTTTTTAAAAAGATTTGAGTGTAAATTTAGTTGTATCTAGAGGTCCATACCAAATCGAGGTTTTTACTCAAATTTGTGTTTGTGTTTGTGTTTGGGTCAACATCGGAGATGCCTAAGAAAAACATGTTAGGAGTTTTGAACGGTTTTCCTTTTGCTGGTATAATCTCCAACTTTGACTCAAATTTTGAGTTAATATTTGAGTAAAGCATGATATGATACAAAAAGTTCCAGTAAACAAATTCAAATTTAAAGGTGGATAAACTCAAATTTAAAGAATGAAAAATCTAAATTTAAAAATGGGTGAAATATGACTATTAAATTTTTAAAGGAAAATAAAATTTCACCCATTTGAGTAAAAGTTTGAATCTCTTTTGATTTGGTGTAGGTTTGGATATAGGATTAGAGAAGGTTTATGAGTTATTTTTACTCAAATTTAAATTTGGGTCTATAAAAAAGGGTAAGGGTTGTAAATGCTCTAAGTAAAACTTGTGAGTGTGAGCGTGCATGCAAAAACATCTTGAAGTTGCGATTTTGGGGACACTGCTTTTTGGTTCACCTCTTCTAAATGGAGGCTTTCCTTGTTAAGGTTCACACCAGTGTGTTCTTATTATTAGATTCCATAGGAACTCAAATGCAATGAAACCTGCTGAGACATAAAAAGCAAAGAACACTAAAGAAATATAAGTACCCACACATGATGTAGACAAATTGCTGGTTTTGTACATGGTTGGTGGGTAATGCCAAGGAGTATGAGTGATACTTTTGGTGTTGGATTAGGGGTTGTGTTGGAAGGAAAGTAGGAGGGCTTGAGATGCTTCCCCTCTTTTTTTGATATTGAGTGTTTGACACAAAATGAGCAAGTCCTTTTGAGGGGCAGAGCTTCCAGTACACAGATGAAGGGGGTTAGTATATTTGGCTGAACAAGTTTTGATGCATATTCTATGCATTATATATGTGTGCACATATATATAGAAGGCTGTCCCTTGTACACATTTGGTGTACTTGAATTGTGTGTCCCTTCTCTTTTGGCATCTGGGGTGGATCTCTTTTACTCCTACAGAAAAAAGAATGAAATCTGACAGATTGACTGCAACAATTATGACAAGCAACCTCTCTTCAAAGAAACTCTCGATCGAAATCAGACGAACCTGACATGCGAGCAAACTTATAGCTAACAGGAAGAAGACACAAATCTAACTGTGAATGAACCTCCTTCAAGTGTCCAAGTTCTTTATGCATGGATTTAAATAATTCCCAGATCTGGTTGGTAAGTTCAGATTAATTATGTCTGAAATTTGTGAAACAATGCCGAAGAATCACAGAGACTTGGCTGGTGGGGCTACTCAATTGCTAATCAGTAGTCTGAAAAGTTAGATTTTCTGTGGTCAACTTTCCGGGATGGAACATTGGAACTAATATTGTCACATTTTATACTCTTTCTTTAAACTGATTGCCTGATTTCTTTCTACATAAATGTCCTGAATGACAATCCCTATATTTAGTATCTAAAAACGGCTCTGCTATCTTAAGAAACTGGTCCCTTGTCCATTGAACATAATTTAGACCTTCCACAAATATCAAATTTACTGAAGTCTATAATTAAAACATGTTTGATATTTTGATTGTCTGGAAGGAAACATTGCTAAGAGCTGAAGCCTAGTTATTCTTCTAATCTAGCTGACGAAACACTTTAATACATTATGTCTGGCCTCTGAAAACCAGACTAGATTCTTCCATAGTACAACTATAGGCACTTAAACCACAGTCCTCCATGGCATTTAGTATCCGTCAATATTCTGCTGGGTTTTTGGGCATTACACTTCTTGGTTATAAATGATTGAAGATTACATACTGTTATGTTTTGCTTGGTTTCTAATATGAAACACCTAATGACTCGCTTTCAGAAGGATTGCAGATACACCAGGTCCATGGCCCTGTCCGCAAGTAATAACACTGGGAAGAAGCTTATCCGCGTTGATATCAGTTCAGACACTGTATGTCCATGGTGTTTTGTGGGCAAAAGAAATCTGGACAAAGCAATAGCTTTATCGAATGATAAATATGATTTTGAGGTTCGGCTTTTTCATCTTGGATTCCGACTTTTGACAGTCAATTTCACCTATTGCTTCTTTTTAATACATTTGAAGCTATTTCGCAGATCAGATGGCACCCATTTTTTCTCAATCCTTCTGCCCCTAAAGAAGGCATTGACAAAATAGAGTATTACAGGAACAAGTTTGGGTCACAGGCCGAACAAATCCATTCTCGGATGACACAGGTTTGCTATTATTCCTTGAATCTCCAACTGAGATGTTACTGGTGGTCTGCATTCCCTTTGATCTGCCTGTTATATGATGATTCCACTGTGACTGTTTTGCAGGTTTTTAAGGGTCTTGGGCTGGAATATAACATGTCTGGACTCACGTAAGTTTGAAGTATGGTTTATGTTTGGACCACCTCATCTAAGAAAGGAAACCTGTGAAGCTCGAAGTGGCATTTATGTGAGATACCCCTAACAATCTTTCTTGTTTGCAGGGGTAGTACGCTGGACAGCCACAGGCTTATATATTTTGCTGGGCTACAGGGCCTTGATAGGCAGCATAATCTTGTGGAGGAGCTATGCCTCGGGTACTTCACTCAGGAAAAGTATATTGGTGACAGGTAAATGCAGTTCTTGGAGGACTTTGATATCAGCTTTTTGGTGGTTCATATAGTAAAATATTTCGAGTTATGTTATAAATCAATATGAGATTCTTATAAACATTCGTTCTCTTTTTCTCAAATCAATTTGTTTGAATGCAAATCAATATGAGATTCTTATAAACATTTATTCTCTTTTTTTTTTTTTTCCAATTCAATATGTTTGAATGCACATTCATCTTCCTTTTGTAGAAAATAATATGAGAATAGGAAAGTTTTCTTGGATTTGCTATCAAAAAGATATCCAAAAAAACTTGTTTCATGCATGTAGTAGATTTGCATCTGATTTCAGATTATTATTTATCTAGTTTGTTGAGTTGAGTTGAGTCGAGGAGTTGTTGTTTCAAACTAATTAACTCTTGAAATCTAAACTCATTTTGATTTATATTCAATAACATTGTGTATATATTTAAAGAGTCGTTGAATATGTTTAACCACATACCTAGGTTCATATAAAACGTTACGGTGTACACCCATAGAATCATTTCGTGGTGGGATTATCAAAATGGTGAACATTGCTTGGAATGTCAACCTAGGCTTAAGATGAAGATAGAGCTCTCATGGTTGTTTAGTAATAGACAAGGGTGTGCGCCAATATAACAGCCACTAACATTTCTAATCTCAAATGCAGGGAATTTCTTGTGGAGTCCGCAAAGAAGGTTGCGGTAGAAGGAGCACTGGAGTTCCTCGATGATCCAAACAATGGTCTGAACGAGGTGTGTTTCTCTAATCAGTGACCCTTTATTCTCCGTTGATTATCAATGAGACACACGACAGAAGAAAACTTTTGTGGGAGAAATAAAATGAAAGAGAAGTATCAACTTTTGTTGCACCGTTGTGAGAGTACAAGTTTTATTTCCTCATAACAGTTGTAATCAAATGGAGCATTATGTTGATTCTTCTTCTCCCTTAATTGCCAAGGAGGAACAGCCATTCTCAAATTATCAGTCATAAAATTTCAAATCTTTTTCACTATACTCTCTAATAAAATAGTCGTAAGTTTCGGTGGTATCCATTATTCAATTTTGCATGTAAACTATTGGAGGTTAATGAGGAGCTTCAGAAGTACTCAGCAAACATTTCAGGAGTTCCACATTTTGTGGTGAGTGATGCAAAATCTCAATTACCGAATCCAATATTCGGTGTGATTATCCATACTCTACCATTCACCGAATTGGTTTTTTCGCAGATAAATGGGAAGCACCAGTTGAGTGGTGGCCAACCCCCTGATGTCTTCCTGAGAGCTTTTCATGTCGCTGCAACTGACAGTTCGTAGTGCCTGCATCTGCATTCTTCATTCTCTAACAAAGTTGCAGATTCTTTGCCTACCTTTGAAAATATGAGTGGTTTGTAGCACCGGCATCTGCATGGGTCATTCTCCAGTCTAATAAAGTTGCAGATCCCTTGCCTACCTACGAAAATATGAGTGGTTTATGATATTTATTGCGAGTCTCCTTTGTGCTTGAGACTCAGTAATGTAATTGTACTGTAACAAAGGTTTGGGCGTTGTTGGGACATGTAAATACATGCATTTGCAATAAGTTGGTATTCACTGCTGATGGTTTGAAGTATTGATGTGCAGTACCACATCATCTGGTGCAACTGCCATGTCTAGTTTTTCTTCTATTTTCCGCTTTTTTATTTATCTTGTAGTAATGGCTAAGAAAATTCCTTGTAAAACAAAGGTGTAGAGAGAGAGAACCAGCAGTCCTGCGGGCCATGGTCTGGCCGAGTCCGTCGTGAGCTGACCCATTAGCCAGTAGGGTAAGGCCATGGACCATCTTGTTGCCCATCCTTCGTCCAGCCACAGTTTGGCTCATCAGCCTCCAAAATTTAAAAATAGAAGGGATAGGTTTAATTTTCTTAAAAAAGAAAAATAGTTTTTTAAAAAAGAGACCCTGGACCGGCCCAGCTGGGTAAATTGTAAAAAGGTATATCAAATTAGATTTATTTGGTAAAAAGTACACACTAAAAAATATAAGGTTATTAAATAATTAATTTTGATACTTATTTGTATCCAAGTACATAATTTGAATTTATCTATTTTTATTGTGACATTTTTGCCCTCTATTAATCCATGTGTATTTAATGCATCTCCTAGTTTTATGGGAGAACTTTAATACATACATATATATATATACATTTTTATATATACATAAATATATATTTTTATATATATTTATATATACATAAATATATAAATATATATGTATGTATGTATATACTTGTTGTTAAATCTCTTTTCTAAATTTTGAATTATCTTTTAATGCACCTTGATTCATGCATTTTTTTTTAGAAAGTGATTTTATTTTCAAATTAATTTAATATCCGAATAGTGTAATAGTAATAGTATAACAATAACAGTGTAACAATAAAAGTGTAACAGTATAACAATAATAGCAGTGTTTTAAAACTTGGCTCGGCAGGTTGACCCGGTGAACCGGTCCCCTAACCGGGCCGGTTTTGTAATTGGATCGTTTGAGTAAAGAACCCGGAATAAAATCAATGAACCGGTCAAAAAATCGATAACCCGTGAAAACCGGACGGGTTTACAAAATCGGCCGATTTTGTTCCTTTAGTATAAATAGGTCTTTTTTTTTACATTTTTGTGTCTTTTTTTTTCCCCTTCTGTTTTGCCCTAAATCCTAAATCATTCATTCAGTGTTCACACTCCACAGCCCAGCCTCCAACAGCACCACAACAAGCCTCCACCCTCCACGAGCAGTGATTCATTTGCCCTAATATGATCTTTGTCGTTATGAGCCTCTGCCTCTCGTCTTCCTCTTCCTCTTCCTCTCTGCCTCTCGTCCTCCTCTCTGCCTCTCGTTGGATTTTAAGGTTTGATTACTCTCAGCCTCTTACTCCGATTCAGTCCTCTCTCTCTCTTTGTGATGTGGTTAGCTTGCTCACTCGAACTCTACAAATTTCATTCTCTAAGACACAACAATAGATACCTTTTTCTCTCTCTTTCTCTCTCTCTCTCTCTATATATATATATATATATTTGCTCTAGGATCTGGTTTTTGCTTTCTGTTTGTGCTGTCCTCCATGGTTGTTGTTGTTGGTGCTAGTTTTTGCTTTTGTTTCACGTTGATGGTTTTGCAATGATACTGATGGTTTTTGCTTTTGCTTCGTGTTGTTATGTCTTTCTCTTGAGACTTGATTTGTATGAATTCTTATGAAGTTGATTTCAAGAACAATGCAATTAAGTTAATATTTGATTTGATTAATAGCAGATTAGGCAATTGTATTGGAATTGAATGTATTGGTTTGATAATTTTTAAGTGTTTGTTAACTCAAAAATTAAGTGAATGTAATTAAGTGATTCAGGTTTGAGGGTGGAGGCTGGGCTGTTAATTGAATGCATTGATTTGTTAATTGAATACAATAAAGTGATTTAGGCTTGATAATTTTGTTTGATTTAATATATATTAAACATGTTATTTTTATAACTATTTTAATTTTTTAGTCTATTTATCATCATTAATAATTATTTTTTATTTTTTTATTATATCACCGGTTCGACCAGTGACCCAGTGGTTGAACCAGAAACCCATTGACCCGATCCCTTCTCCGGGTTGATGTCCGAGCCGGGTTTTAAAACTATGAATAATAGTGTAACAAGTTATTTACACAAAATATTATACTATTACATTTTGTCAAACATATAGTTCCATATAATTTCATTCAAAATAGTCCATTTCCGTTTTGAATTTGTTATCATATATACAAAACTACTGAACATTGTTTTTGTTATAGTGTATTTGTTACACTATCTTTGTTACGCTGTTATTATTATACGATTACATTATTCGGATATTAAATTAATTTGAAAATAAAACTATTTTCCAAAAAAAACAAACGTTTGAATTAAGATGAATTAAATATAATTTGAAAATAAAATCACTTTAAAAAAAAATACGCATGAATCAAGGTGCATTAAAAATAATTCAAAATTTAAATAAGAGATTTAACAACAAATATATATATATATATGTGTGTGTGTGTGTGTGTGTGTGTGTGTGTGTTATATTCGTATATACATATATACGAATATATGTATATACGAATATAATATATACATGTATTAACAAATACAAATGACTTAAAGTGCATTAAATACACATTTATATGTATTAACAAACACACATGAATTAAGGTGCATTAAAGATAAAAGATTTTGAATTAAATGACTCTAAAATAGACATTTATGTCTTTTTAACTCACATTGTATTGTATGTACTTTTTGTCAAATAAGTCTAATTAGGTGTACCGATTTCCAAAAAACCCTACTAAATATCCATCATAGTTAAGGATAGCATTGGACTGGTGTACGGCAAGGAGAGTAGTCTCCACTCTCATACTGGATTTTGCAAAGCAAGGCGGGGATAAAATTCAGTTTATTTTTGCTTTCATTCATGCATGGATTTATACAGATATCTCTATTTTTATCTATCATTTAATATGTATAATCCATCCGATCTAAACGGAACAAATTTGATCAAACACCCATTTCTTCTCGGTCGATTGCCATCTCTAATAATAGTCAGCCTAGTTTGCAGACCATGGGCCACCCTTACTTTGTGCATTTGGCCACAGACAGGCACGGGTTGTGATAGCCCGGCCCGGGCCAAAAACCCAAGTCTCCAAAGTTCAAAATAAATACCAACCTAGAAGGTGAAGTGGCAATTATTCTCTCAATTTTACTCATTTGAAGCTCATGAGAAACATCTTGATTGACTCCATACAAGTAATTTATTGATGATTGTAAGAATTCTACATATACAAAACAGTCGCCGAGTCTCACAAACATATGATTAGAACGGTTCTCAACTATCAAGCCTTTGATCTCATCGACAATCCACTTTTTTAAGTAGATTATACAATTTTGTCCAAACTTTGTTTTCCTCTAGTCCAACAGTTGGGCTACATAACGGTGGTAGCCTTCCCCACACCCATAAACCTAAACCTAAACCTAAACCTACCTACTCAATGAAGGTGAAATTCTCCCCCACGGTATGAAACAGTACTCCTGAAACTTTTCTCCTGTGTAAATGAAAAGGATAAAGGAAAAGCAAGAGCTTACAAGAAAATAAACCTGTAACCAATTTTTTTTTTTTAATTTCTTTTGAGAGAACCTGTAATGTAACAAAGTGATACTGAACAATTCACATTTATTATATACGACACAGTTTTAACATGCGATATTCGCCATGGCTTTTACACGTTCTGTTTCTGGTTTTCTTTTCCCCATTTCACGTTTGTTGCTGGTTTCATCCACGACAGGAGTATACTGAGTAAGATCAAGTCGTCTCATCGAATACCATCACCTAAAAATGGCAAACCAAACAACATGATTTCAAATCAAGTAAGAATTCACATAGCAAGAAGAATTATTTAAATGTCATTCCTGATTATCAGAAGAAAGAAAAAGCAATGGGATTTCAAAATTTTGAATTCAAAAGAAGTAATTTTGCTACATCTTGCTGGTTACTATATGAGTATGATCATATTATGCTAATATCTCTCAAGAAAATGGAGAATTCTTCACACTATTTAGGTGAGTCATCAAGTAAATTAAGGCATGCTTCTACCAAACTAACAAGGTGTAACTGACCACTCAAACATATTTCAATCTACAGATAAAAGATCTAACTGTAAAAAATCAACCTAGACAGTGTCGTGCAAGTATGAAAATGCTTAGATTTTCACTCAATCAAGTGATTTTAGATATATGCAATCCACAAAACAGGTACATATAATAGGGTGGGGATGGGCACTGATAGTTTTTTAAATTTTTCACTTACTTGTGTGTGAAGTTACAGATGACAATGAGAATATTGAATATGTAGCATGCTATTGAGAGAAGAAAATCAAGATCTCAGAGAAGGCAATTGCCCCTAGACCCTCCATTAATCAAATTTTTGCAGCTTTGTCAATCCGGGAATGGAAATACTCTTCTCCATAATATTTTGTTTCAAAGGTGGCAAAACTAATTCGGAACTATTGCCCACAATTAGAAGATTCAGTGGAAAGCTCAAAAAAGCCTACTTATTAAGCAGATTTGATGCGCATACCCTGCGAGTCCTACCTAACAGGCCAGTTACAAAATTGAGGAACCCAGCAAAAGGTACAATAGCTACCCATGCAGGTCCACTTGGGTTGGCAAAGCTGCACTGCATGTGAGCTTGTTGAATCAAGTATAACGGTAATCACAGCAAATTAAGCTACAGCAATCACATTGCGCCGTGTCTCGTGACCAAGATATCAATTCATATAATGCCCAACGTACAAAAGCTCAGTCAGGCCGGCTCTACCCCTAGGCAAGTGAGGCGGTCGCCTAGGGCCTCATTTGCGTATGTTTCACAGAATTATATTATTGAATTTTAAAAATAATGTAAAAACTTTTAGATGTTATGTGAAACGATAAAAAAAAATTACTAATATTTTTTTGAAGTCATAAATATTTGCACATTTAAAAAGAAGAAGAAAAAAAGATAGTACCATATTCTTGTATAAAAAATTATAAAACTTTACTCTCTCATTTTATTTGAATTTTCAATAACTCTGGCCTATTTATTTAGTTTTATTTTCTTGAACTATAATTTTTGAGTTAATTTTGATCTTGACATATTAATTTACACAATGTTTTTATTTTACATGTTATTTTACACCTTAAATATACCTACTAAAAGATATGAATTTAAATATTTAAAATTTTAAAACAAAAATAAATAAATTATGCATCCAAAAAAAATTTAGGGCCCAATCTAAAATTTTTACCTAGGGCCTTAAGTATTCTTGGGCCGACCCTGAGCTCTGTGTTGCTTCCATGTACCAGTACAGTAGCCGAATTCAACTTCAATAGAGTACGGGATGTTGTAAAATATGTAACTGTTAATTTTTTCCTCTTTGGTAATATGCATAGGCATAACCTTGCAACCTCTATTTCTGCTTTTTATTTATCTATTTTCTCACATCCTGAATAGGCTCCAGAACTTAAATAGTATATGCATATATGCAAAACTATTGATAACAGTTGCTTACACTTGCTCAAAAACATAAGGAACAAGAAAAATAAAATTGTTGTCTGAAAGGAATAGAGAGAGGGTTCTTGCACAAGTGCTATGTATAGGACTATAATAATTAAATTGGTGAGTGTCGTTCAATACGTATTATGATCCACATTGAAAGTAACGGTATTTGAAGGGAAAAGTAATATTAATATTGACCAAAATAGTAAGGAAAGACTTATCATACGACAACAAATGACTTATGCCAAGGCCAAACAGTTAGGACAAGAGTATGTCAAGTTGAATTGGTTGAGTTCGGAAAAAGATTTAATCCACTCTGGCCAAACTAGGTCAACGTAGTCCACTCACAAATGAAATGACCAAGGCAATTCAAAGTGGAAATAATTTGGCATTAAATTGATTCATTGTTCAAAGCAAATAATCTGAAAGTGAAGACGTCTTTGCTACAGAGAAAGACCAGTTTCGATGAAAGAACTTGCTTTGCATGTAGCATACAGCGTACAGCATACAGCTGACAAAAGTATATTGCAATGCAAAATCAAGCATGCAAATGGGTTATAATCATCTCAAAATATATGCCGAAAAGTACATATGACCAATGACATGTTACCTTGCCACAAACTGGACAGTTTTCACTTCTCTCCATCCACTCATATATGCAACCAAGGTGGAAATGATGAGAGCAGTTTGTAATTATCTTGGGGTTCTCTGTGGTGTATTCTGCATTTATAAAATATGAAAACTATGAGAATCAATTTTAGCAGTTCCAATCTCCGGTATCATATTTACAACAGCGTTCTTCTATTTTAAGCAACAAGGATTAAAAAAGTGCAGGCTGCATTGAACTTCCGTGTGGGTTAGGGAGTGCATGCCCCTAAGAAACATAGCTTTCTTCACAAGTGATGATATGCCATCAGCATGGCTTGGGGTCCCTGAATAAGGGCAGGAATGATGTTCATTTAAGATAGCTCATCTATTATTGGGGCTTCAGTACATTCTTTTTTCCTCTCAATAACCAAACAAAAAATTTGGAACAATAAGACGAGGGATACAGCACAGGAGAAGGACAAATCATCCTAAAGCTTCCATGAACATTCACTGCACCACAACCCATTTCCATCTAGCAAACATGGAGCTTTAGAGATCTCCCAATAGCTTAACTTTGAACAGTTATCAATTAAAGTAAAATACGGACAGATAAAGATCTTAGTTGCATAATATGAATCAAATACTGCAAGGTACACCAGAAAATTTGAGAGCATTCATTCACCTGCTGATTTGTGGATCATCAAAACAAAAACCTTTCTTTATATTCAAAATCAGAAGAATTAGATTTGGGAAGATAATGTGACAAATCAGTCAGTGAGCAAAACTTAAGAATCATTGCCCAATGCAGCCATAAAATGTTTACACTAACAACCAAAAGCTTGAAGGCTCGAATTTAGGATAACTATTGTGTGCAAGTAATACCAGAATTAGGTAGGTACGCGGTCCACCAGTCTTAGCACCCTTGAGATTGGGGAACCAAACTAAGAGTGGAAATTTGTATCTAGCACAAGTATGAAATGCAATGCGGGTTTTTTCATGCATAACGAAGCATTAGAGCAGCAACCTCATACACAATAAAGATTATAAATTATACAATATAGGAATGTAACTATAAATGTTTCACAAGTTCTAAATCCAAAACTATGCACTCTCACTTTGCATGTAACATATCTTAGAAGTTTAAAGCCACAGATTCAGACAGATTTTTAAAGTTACAAATTGGTCTCAGCACGTGTTAAGCCAGTTATTGGCCAACAAGAAACCAAAATGCTATCAATCACCTGGTTAGGCATCTTTAATATCTCTATTTAAAATGTTAAGCCTAGATGCAGAAATGAAAGCTTCATGCTATGTTTTACCTTCAAGACATGTTGGGCAGACATCTTCATCTTCGGAAGAAGTATAAATATGTGCAAAACCAGTTGTTTTCTTTGCAATGGAGAGCTTCAGTGAAGACTTGGAATTATACTCTTTTGAACCTTCTTCACATGTAGTCTCCTTCCATTTGTTTCCAGTACTCAAATATTCAGATTCTTCATCAATATCATTTCTTCTCAGTGGTTCAGTTTCCTCATTTGAATGACTTGAGCCTTTCTCCCTTCTCGAGACTAGTCCATCCCGTTGAAGGCGGATATATCTGGGATCAGTATCATATGGCAAGGGCCTAGGAGGAGAGCGGTACATATCAGATAGAGAATTGTCAAGTGATGATGTCGAACTCAAAGATGCTGTTCCCTGAAGGGATGCAGGGACAGAGTGTTCTTCCCCTCTTTGAAACAACGAAGTATACTGCATGATGAAGAAAATGGGAAGAGATTGAAATTTTAAGGAATTCTTTAGTCCATTTCCCATCATTATCTAAAAAATCTAGCAGAACATTAAAAAATACATTTCTTATCAAGAAAACCATATAGCATACCACATGTAAGACGTTTTGAAGAAAGCAACGAAGGCATATACAATTCCTGTAAACAGAACTGTTCGGATTAGCATAATCTTCGCAGTCCTCACTCAAACAGCAACAAACAGCACCCATGACACCAGCTTCAACTTATTTTAAATACCTAAAACCCTCCACTGTTTTTCTCAAATCTCATCAATGAAGCTCAGCTGTGGTAAGGGAACAAACAAAGGAAGAAGATCCTGTATCAATAAGTACAAGAAGATAACACCGGAAGATGAGAGAGGACCCCAAGCTCGCAGAAACTACTATGGCTCCGCGAACCAGTACCCTCTCTCTTCGAGAGACAACCCAAACTGCTCTTGGATATCAAGACATTAATGATAGATCAAATGCACTTTCTCACCTGTAACATAGAAGAACTTTGCAATAATGAAATTTACTATTATAGTTAGTTGAGAAAAAATTGGAGATAAAACAAAATCAAATCAGCACTAAATATGCTGAAATATGCAAATAGTCACAAGACTCACCACTAATGTAATCAGAAGTCAACCTTCCTGAACTAAATCAAACACATGAAAAAACAAATGCCACTGCAGGGATAAGGGAAAGAACAAATCTTTTAGGGAAATAAAGCTGCAGCGCACAGCATGAGAATTTATTATAAAAAATAAGACAAATATAACACATGATAGGCAAAAAAGAAAAAACTATCCAAGCAACAAAATCTCTAATCAATCATGAAACTGATAGTTGTTTTTTTGTTTTCTTTAAAATAAAAAAAGGGATTATTTTTTCCCAATTGCATGTACGAAGAGAATTGTAATTCTGTTGACAAACAATTCATAGAATTCAGCTAACCCATTTGAGATTATTCAAAAAAACAAAAAAAGAATGAATTCCAAGGGAAAACAATTCAGATACACGATCTACCCAGAAAAAAATATCAATTCCTCAATCAAACAAAGAATACCCATGTCAGATTATTGAAATTAACATTGATCACAAGTTCGGAAACACTAGTATAATAACCGATTGATCAAAAGATAATAGACATGAGAGATAAAAAAAGAGAATTGAGAGATACAACAAAACTACAATAGTACCTGAGAGCTAAAGAGAGTAAAGGGATGATCCGATGATAAACAGACAGAAGCCTAGAAATCCGAAGTGAGAGAGAAGAGAGAGATTCAGAATCTATAAATGGGACAAGTGTTGGATTTTCCTGCGAAAAAAAAGCTACGAAAACGCGGAAATATTGCGACCTCTTTGGTGTTGATGTGGGTGATGGAATATATAATGTATATATCTCAACTTTACAAAACTATCATAAATGTCAGGTTTGTCGTATTAAAGTCTAATAATTATGATAATACTCAAAAAATATTATTCTTCTACAGTTTTTTTTTTTTTATTTTTTTATTTTATTTTTCACACCGCCACAGTTTCTAACCTGACATATGACATCTCTTCTAACTACTTTGGTATAATATTAACTTTGCAATTAAGGCATCTTACATTCGTAATAAAAATTAGTCAATTTTAGTCATTTAATTAATTGTGTAAGAAATTGCTTAAATCCCGACTCAAATTTAATTTTGAGTAAAAACAAATTAAGTTAGAAATTGATATAATAGTATCGATTTTTTGGACCCAAAATTTTAAATCAATGCTACTATGACCTGATTATTGATCTAATTTATTTTAACTTTTAGATTGATTGTGAGTTCTATCAAACATTGAAAACTTGATGTTGATCAAATGATTCTATCAAAGCCACATCATAAGAGTAACAAATTATGTCAAATTATTAAATTTAAATAATATTTTTGAAAATTTTATATTGTATCGTGTTTTAAGACACAAGTTGTAGTTAATATGTATAATAAAATAAGACTTATTTTAAATCTCATAGCTTAGTTTAATACAAGAGTGACCGAGATTTCCTTAATCCAATAACTCAAAATTATTTTTTTCCCCAATTTAATTAAGACTTTTTCACACTAATCAAACAAGATTCTCCCACAGCTGAAAATTTCACCTATCCTATTCTTTTTTATGCTAACCAAGGTAAAACAAAAATATTCTTTCTCCCATCTCTTTTTTTTTTTTTAAATAGTAGGATAAGATTATTTTTGAATTGTGTAATTATAAAAAATAAAGTAAGTTTTTTTGTCTTTAATTTGTTATTCTATTTATTTGTATTATCCAATGCATTTTCACAAATTATTACTAGTTTATATTATAATTTTTTTTCAACGATTAAAAGTGTTTGAGTTAATTTACGAACACTTCGATTAATCTTCTCTCTGATCCGATTAAATATAAATTATTTACCGCATAATCTCAAGAAATTGTCCAGAGTTAAAATCAAGTTTGAGTTAACTAACAGTTTTTGCTATTTATTGAGTAGAATTGTGAAGTAAATATATCGGACGGGTCTGGATCCGCTGATCCATATATGTAAGGCGGGACCTCCTATTTGAACTTGCACCCAAATCGTCTTACCGATTCGAACTAAGAAGGACTGTACGTGTTCTGGTCTCTCTGCTCAGTACTTTTATACTATTTCCTGTGTACATTGCCGACGAACAACTCTACAGTGACCGTTTTTGCCCTTTTTTTAATTATCCATAACCTTTCTTCGCCGGCTGAACCCACCAACATTGGCAGATCTAATTGTCCTACACCGCCTCCGTTCCATCTACACGCCTTTCTCTCTCTAGAATTCTTGTGTTCTAGCCCATTTTTTTTTCCAATTGCTATTTAATTTTCTCTCTTTCGTTCCGTAATTTATAATTTTGGTGTTCTGATTTGAGATTTAGGGGTTTGTATTCGGATTTTTCAATGAAGATCTAGTTCAGATTTGTTGGAATCTGATAAACCCTAGGTAGCTAAACGATGCAGAGCTCAACGAGCTCAGTGGCCCAACCGGAGGGAATTCTGGAATGGCTTCAGAAAGAAATGGACTATCGACCTCTCGGTCCGTACGTTTCTTCTAGCAAGGCGTCAATGCCATCGAGTGATTCGATTCGCCGGGTTTGCCGTGGAAATATGATTCCGGTGTGGAATTTCTTGCTGAAGAGAGTGAAATCGGAGAAAACGGTGGAGGATATTCGGCGAAACATACTCGTTCATGGTGGAGATGACAGTGGCGGTGGGGGTGTTGATTCGGGGAAAGGCGGTGAGGTGGGGAAGAGTAGAGGGAGAAGGAAGGAGAAAATTGAGAGTTCGACTTCGAATTCGATGGAGAGTAGTAGAGAGATTGCTTTACGTGAGAGAGAATTGGCGGAGAAGGAGACTGAGAGGTTACGGCATATTGTGAGAAGGCAGCGCAAGGAGTTGAAGGCGAGGATGTTAGAGGTTTCCAGGGAGGAGGCGGAAAGGAAGCGGATGCTTGATGAGAGGTCAAATTACAGGTTAGATCTCTGACATTTGAGGCAATTGTATTTTTCCTTTTCTGTTCATAATTTATCTGACTAAATTTGAAGATACTTTTGCATTTAAAAAGTTTACTGTAAATCATGTATAGCGCGACTATCTATACTTTTTGAATTTTGACTGGTAACTAGAATTCAGGATGGATGGAATAAAAATGTTAGATGCACGGAGAGAAAAACTAAATGTATAATTGTGATTAATATGATTTTTGTAAACACAAATAATGAATTAGTGGAATGGAAACCCCAAAGGCGGTTGTGTATATGGAAGCACAACATATGTCCACAGACGTATAAACAATTTGTTGATCGCAAGGAAAATTGAATAAAAAATTCCACTTCATTTAGTTTTATAAATTAAGGATTATGTATTGATGAATAAGGATGGCTGATAAGTTATGAAGCATGAATAATCTTTTAAGTCAAAGTTTTCGTATCAGTTATGATATTGTACCTCTGGTAGGTGAATAAATTTTTTCCTAAATCTGAGATCAGTCAAGTCAAAAGATTTCTTCCCCTATTTGTAAGAACACCTTCCATACTAGAATCTACAAGATTACAGGCTATGTGATACTAAGCCTCGGGGATGCAAATATTGAGAAATCGACATGACTTTGAAGACATGTGGGCTATTTATAGGAAGGCACATGATTGGTTCCTAAGTAATATCTATGTGTGAAAAGGACATAAAATGAGATAATTCCACCCTTTTTCTTGTCAACATTTACTGCTACGTAAATCAATGCCTAAATATTGTTTTTAGTTCTTTTAATTGAGCATATTCTCTTTGTGGGTTTACCATGATGACACAATTTATGCTTCTCTGAAAGTAAACCTTTTTTAAGTGTTATCGAAATGTTACTAAAGTTATAACTATCAAATTGCCAGATAATAGTGAAATTTAAACTAAATTATATTGTAGACGCATACTGGAAATATCCATATTTTATTTGTTTAGGTTTTGCTTCATCGATGTTTGTATCACTCATATCCAGTTGCTGTATCCGTGCTTTCTAGTTGAGAAGCATGGTTATAGCTTTGAGCAGTCTGGACCCTGACAAGGTAAGTTTAATTTATGCATGCTACTTAATAATACCGCACAACTTCATCATTGGAGTGTCAAAAAAGAGCGTTTAAATTCCTGAAAAGCTAAACTAGTTGTTAATTGTTAGATTTGGGAAAAAAGAATGGCCAATAAGTCCGATTAAGTATTTGTAGACTGACAAGTCTCTGAATTCTTGTAGTTTTGAGTTCTTGACATATTCTCACTTGTAGTGTAGGCACAAACAGGTGATGTTGGAGGCTTATGATCAACAATGCGATGAAGCAGCAAGAATATTTGCAGAGTATCATAAGCGGCTCCGTTATTATGTTAATCAAGCAAGGGATGCTCAGAGGTCAATTTTTGAATCTTCAGATGAAGTGGTTACTGGTTTCCAGCCAAGCAATGATAAAGAGGCTGTTTATTCAACTGTTAAAGGCTCCAAATCTGCAGAGGATGTCATTCTTCTTGAAACAACCAGGGAAAGAAATATCCGGAAAGCATGTGAATCTCTTGCAGTGCAGATGATAGAAAAGATTCACAACTCGTTTCCGGCTTATGAAGGAAGTGGTATCCATTTGAATCCTCAGCTAGAAGCTGCCAAGTTGGGCTTTGATTTTGATGGTGACGTGCCTGATGAGGTTAGAGATGTGATTATAAATTGCCTAAGAAGTCCTCCTCAGTTGCTTCAGGCAATTACTGCATACACTCAACGACTGAAAATCCTGATTGCCCGAGAGATAGAGAAAATTGATGTCAGAGCTGATGCAGAAACCTTAAGGTATAACGATGCTCTATCTATTGTTATGGTGGTGCATCTGTGGTTGTTGCTTGTTACATGCTGTTTACAGTGATATTTGAGTAATTATTCACCTAAACATTTTAGATCTTCTGAGCTACTTTTGTCATTTAGTTTGCTATTTATTCCTTATTCGCCCATTATTGTTTTTATTGCTTGCAGAGAAAGTAACATTTACGAGGTATTTGCTTTTCAACCTGCTTCCTCGTACTGGAGAAATATGTGGGACTCATTGTTTTCTTTTTCCTTTTTAATGTGAACCGGATCTTTGTTGCTTACCCAGCTAGTGGAGATAAGGCACCTCGAACCTACTTTCACACGTTCATCAGACTAGCTGAAAAACTTATTTCTTAGTTACTTTTGTTTCCATTTTACACAAACGAGCATTCTTGTGATGATCCCTTAATGAAATTTTAATGCCCCACTTTCTTTCAACTTTTTGACATATCCATATACTTTGTTCCATTTCATTCTCCAAATCTTTGGAATGGATCTTGATTGGCTGGATTATATACACATAACGGTATGTATCAGTAACATGCTGGATTGATTTGTCATGTGGTGCATTGATGCATGCCATTCATGCCAAAGTTACATGTGTGTGTCATTGGAGATGCATGAAGACCAGCATTGAAGTTTGGGTGCAAACTTTCGTCTTTATTTTACCATAGATCGACATTATTCATTTCTTCTTCCGTTCTTACTATAGAGCTTACTTATCTTGTGGTTATCAAGTGGCATTTACTTTTTCCCATTTTTGCTTAATTTACTAGTTAACTGTCTTGTTTTGATTTTTATTTTCACACTGTCTTCATTCAAGGTGATGCATTTTTAATTTCACTAACTGTTCCATTCCAGAGTGGGCATCAATTGTGGTTACATTTATTGTCTGTCTGCTTGTCTCTCTGCTGATTTGAACATAAATAGTAATTCTCATCTCCCCAGCAGGTATAAGTATGAGAATAACAGGGTCATGGATGCTTCGTCTCCTGATGTAAGCTCACCCTTACAGTATCAACTCTATGGTAATGGAAAGATTGGATCTGATCTACCTTCAAGAGGAACTCAAAATCAAAATCAACTTCTTGAGAGACAGGTCTTCTTTTTTATTTGCTGGCATCCATACTGTCTCTTTTTCTTCATTCATCCTTGCAGGTTTCTTTCACAATTTTGCTACCTGTCTGGTTCTGGGTAACTCAAGTTTTACATTCTGTTGAAGGCAGTTCCGTTAATGATTTTTTCATCATGATTCAGTGCTATGGTTTTATTGGCACATTTTGCTCCTCAATTTAACCAAATTCTTCCCAGTTTTATATATCTGTTCACACTCTATTTAAGATATATTCTCTTGCTTACAGAAAGCACATGTTCAGCAATTTGTGGCTACTGAAGATTGTCTCAACAAAGCTGCAGAAGCTAGAAAGATGTCTCAAACACTTTTAAAACGTCTTCATGGAAGTGCTGATGTTGTTTCTTCAAAATCCCTTGTTGGAGGCTCATCTCATGGTATGAGCAGTCTTAGGCAGCTTGAGGTAATACTGCGCTGGTAATTTCATTTTGAGATACATAAACTCTTGAGTTATAGGTGATATTATGGAAACCTATGCATTGAGTTCATTCACCAGGGTTTTTTTTCAGTCTTTTTACTATTGAATAAATCAATAAAGTCTTCGTTCTTAATCCAGTTCTAGTTAATTGCTATTCGTAAAACATGTTTAGGATGACAGTCCTACCTGCTCCTTTTTGGAACCTTGCCTGTTCTGCCTGGATAAGTCCATTTTTGAGAGTTACTCCTACATTACATGCTGTTCTTTTTGTCTTGAAGCATCTATTAGCTAGGGGATTCCATTGTATACTACCTTGTGATAGGATTGTCAAGCGGGGGAATATGGACATACCCATTGCCATCAAATTGTTCCAACATGTTGCCACTCTTTTACTAAAACGAATTCTTCCCTTTTTCTATTGATTCATGAATTATTGCATGCATCTGAATTTCTACTACTCAACTTTTGTGGATATAAAATCTCGTTTTTTCTTGCCATTATTGGAGTTTATGATCATGGCTTGCATATCCACTATATTAAGTGTATCTCCGTGAGTGTGTTGCTTAGCGCTTAGCTTCTAGCTTCTTTGCTTTTGCAGTTGGAGGTTTGGACCAAGGAAAGGGAAGCTGCTGGATTGAGAGCGAGCCTGAATACGTTGATGTCTGAAGTACACCGCTTGAATAAATTATGTGCAGAGAGGAAGGAAGCTGAAGATTCCTTGAGAAAGAAATGGAAAAAAATTGAAGAGTTTGATGCCCGCAGAACCGAACTTGAATCCATTTATACCGCTTTACTTAGGGCTAACATGGTAAGCTAGCTCTGCATTAGACATCTCTTTTGAGTTGTAGACCTGATAGTCAGCAAACAATAAAAATTGATATCAGAGTACCAGTTAGTGATACTCTCTCATGTCCACGCTATTTTTGAACTGAAACTCTTGCCACCTTTATATTTAATCAAATCGGGTGCCATTAAGTCCTTTGTAGGTGGTTATGATCTGTAGTATCCATTTATTGGTCTGAGACGATTGTTCATTAGGATCAGTAATGACATTTTTAACATGGATGTGAGAGTGTTGTCTGAGCTGGCATTGGGTTTGTCATTGCTCTTGAATGCTCAACCTAACTTTGTGCCACTCAACTATGGTTTTACCATATGTATATATTAATAAAATGAATTACAAGAAAACGAATATGGGTCCAGTACTTTAGTTTATTTTGTTTCATTGCCATAGTCATCCTCCTGTCCATAGCATGGTTCAAAATGTTCAAGTAAATTAGTCGACAACAACTTACCCTGGAAAATAGGAGCTAAAGCTTTATTGTAGTAGCTAACATTGGTTTCAATTATGGCCCTAAAGTTTAGTCTGCCACTGAAGAGAATGTAAATGGGACTACAATAGCACTTGGATATTATTGATGAATTCACCACTAAACGCCCCTTCAGAATTATGGTGTTAGATTGTTAAAGTGGTAGTTTAAGAACAGCTGTTGCTTGTATTAAGTTTGAGTTTGACTTCTGTATTGCATTTATGCTTGTCATATCTTTCTTCACTGCTACCATGTACCCGGAAACTTGGCTTCTCTGCACAGATGTTTATTTTTATCATTTCTTGAGAACTATTTTATAAAAATGTTTATCTTTTTCTTACATAATAGGATGCTGCTTCATTCTGGAGTCAACAGCCATTAGCTGCAAGAGAGTATGCAGCAGGCACCATAATTCCGGCATGCACAGTTGTTGTGGACATATCAAACAGTGCAAAAGATCTTATTGATAAAGAAGTGTCGGCATTCTATCGAACCCCTGATAATAGCCTCTACATGCTTCCAGCTACCCCACAGGTCTGTAAATCGACACAGAATGTTTTACGTACTTCTGTATGGTAGCAGCCTAACATAATAAGTGGCAATTCAATCTTCTTGAAGATGCTATTCTGATAGTTCTACTGATGAAAAATATCAATACCAATTTTTTCATTCATGTTTACTGCAAGGAACCTTTAGACTTGAGAGGAAAACTAGTTTGTTTGTTTTCTTGGCTTGTAAAAAATCTATAGTTGTAAAGATCTTTTGGGAATATTTATACCCAACTTATTTGTCTATTATAGTAGCAATCGGTTCAAACTTCATACACTCCAGAGTGTTCGCCTGTCTTCTTGTGAGTCGGTGGAAGGGTTTAACCAACCCGACACGTGGGAGCAACAATTGGTATCAGATCTAGGTCACGGGTTTGATTTCTAGAATAGTATTTTTTTTTTTTGGGGGGGGGGGAGATTTTTGGCCTCGATGGATGTGCATCCAGTCTTCCAAAGACTTAGTGGAATGGTTTAAACAAACCAACCTGTAGGGACTACTCAGAAAGAAGTTGTGCCTTCACTAACATCTATAGCTTTTGGTGCAACGGTAAGTGTTTTGATCCAACAGAGAGCTCTACTTAATTTTCTTTTGTAGCAAGATTTGGTTCAAATTGATACCAGTGCTCTGGCTTCCAAATATGAGGCTAGAGTTGGGTATATATAGCCTCATAAATATTTCTAGATAACATTGAAGTGATAATTATTTCTACGTAGTGATCGAATGATAAGTGATAGTCTTAGTTACCTTGTATGGAAATTCAAACATGATTGTAATGATGCACATGGTCGGCAAGGGCGGAGATAGAGATTTACAGTTGATGTATAGGATCGGGATCGTAGTATTAGATCGAGAATCGTAAGATCCTACTACCTGAAAAAATGAGACAAAAAACATATGTAACCATATAGAATTTTCAAAAACAAGAACATGAAAAAAAAATTGGACTAAATAATATGAAGACTTAAATGTTGATTAAGTACTTCTACTCAACACATTTATAATTGTTCCCGACTAGTTTTATTATTTCTTAAATAGTGCATGATGATCACATTTTGGTTGGAATCCGCTGTCAATCCAAGAGCAGTGATGAATCAGGTCAGATAATTAGATCCAAATATTATTATTGTTCTCAATATATCTAAATTTATTGGGGTGGGAAAGAGGTGATGTGATATTGGGGGAGAGAACAAAGAGATTTAGGATGATTTCTTGAAGACATGTTGAGGGATTTAGTTACCTAAATATCAATTAAGTTTGGTTAAATGTGAAATATGATTAAGTAGATTAAGGTGCATGAGAAATTTTTGAAGGGCAGAGTAAGAAGTATATTGAAAAATATATGGAAAATTTTTCAGTAGAAAAAATTTGAGTCCTGGGGCCACTGAGAGTCAACATTGTTTGAGTAATGAAAAAGATATTTAGAACTGTTGCAAAATACTTTAGGGCGGAGAAGGAAATTATCTGTATTTTTAATCCTCTGTTTTTTAATCTTTTGTAGATAAAGTCTTCATCGTAGAAACAGACACTGTTGCTGTTGGCGAACCATACTGGCATATGAAAATGCATAGTTTTTTTAATGTCCGCCTGTATATTTTTTGTTTTTTTGGTCAGATCAATGTTACCGGGTCTCAGTTGAAAAAAAAAAAAGAAAAAAACATTACAATACTGCCATGCATCCATAAATAGAGGCTCCATGTTTTATGGGCCAAAAAATAGAATAGTGTCACCCATACTTATCATATATACAATCATATTTTTGGTTTACGGTTTTATTGGAGCCTCGCTATTTTATGTTTCTTTCTTCTTTTAGCCTTCGTTTCTGGGGAGTTCTTATTTTCCCCATAATTGAAATAGTATTATTGGCCGTTTTATTGGTATATTTCTTATCATGGTGAGGAAGAGGATGTCATTATTTGTTTTTGATACCCTGGTCTCAATTAAGTACATCTTTGCAGTTCATATCTATGATATCCAGAGATCTTATATGTCTTATTCTTTTCAATCAGGCCCTTTTAGAATCCATGGGTGCTAATGGATCTTCAGGACCTGAAGCAGTTGCAGCAGCTGAAAAGAATGCTTCTATATTGACAGCTAGAGCTGGTGCCAGAGATCCTTCGGCAATTCCTTCCATATGTCGGATTTCTGCTGCTCTTCAGTATCCTTCAGGTGACTTTTTTTCCTCCTTGTAGACATGTACCTAATCTTGCATGGAGAATGTAATTTGTTGGTTACAATAATTTTGCTTGGATATTCTATTTATTAAGCAGTTCCAGATTACAGAGGTTTGTGCTGAGCTGCTAGTGGAACAGACAAGTTCACCTGGCTTAATACAATGCTTTCTACCATTTAACAAGTTTTGAACCATAGATTTTTCCTGGTCTCTGAAAACTCCTCATTACGAGCATAAATAGTGTGGTTTCTATGCCCGTGTAACTATCATGGCAGTATTGGGGTACTTAACCTAGTGTCACTGCTTGTCTAGCCTATTTAGGGATGGGAACTGGGACGGCTGTGGATGGGGTGGCCCTTTGCTCGTACCCAGGATAAAGGGAAATTCAACCAAAATTGTCCTATGTCTGGATTGGGGTGGTGCGAGACATAACTCATTTAAGACATCAGTCATATACATGCTTTACCTATTGAGAACTTATGTTCTCCAAAATTTCTACGTTAAGGAGGATAAAAGAAAGCAAGTATACTCCATTATTCTGAGGTCACAAAGATCTTTGACATCATATTGGGAGCTCATAAACTTCAAATATCCATCAGCCTCTAAATTTCTGATATAAGCAGATGATATGGTTAAAAGAAAACAAAAAACAACTCTTGGACATATAAAGGAAAATTATTTGATTTTGACTGTAGGGTATGAGATTCTGATCCAATGGATCGGATTCTGTTCCAAATCTGATTAACCGGATATAGATTGATATTTTTTTAACTGATAATCCGAACTTGAATCCGATATGTTATAGTTCACGGATTTGGGTTTGAATATACCCATTTGAACTATTTATATATTTTTATACAAATATTAAAGAAATTAAGTGATTATTTAAATAAATTTATTTGAAATTTAGCTATAATTTGTTGAAATTTAGTTAATTAAGTTTTTCGGATTGGATCGGAATTTCGGATTGTTAACGGATACGGATATGAACCATGAAAATAAAATCCGTCGGCTTATCGGATCGCTTAAATTTGAATTCGGATTAGTCAAATCTGATTAGGCCTACCTTGAGTCTTCCCTCATCTATAGGAAAGAATGTCCAGTAGGTCATAACAAATTATTGTCTGTACTGTGTGCGTCCTATAGTGATACTGAAATCGCAGCGGTGGCTGTTACGGTATGAGTCATATGACTAATTGGTCCACGCTTTCTCCTGTCAATAGGGGTTTTGTCCACTGCCATGTCTAAGCCTGTCCTGTTGATTTTACTTATTTATTTAATTTTTTTTTTTTTGGGGGGGAAGGGGGGATGGTTCTTAACATGTGACTTCTGCAGTCACTGACATCATTAAAGGAGTAGTCACCACAAGAAACATTATGTTGCATCCATTGGAGAACTGTAGTTATAAAAAGAAAAAAGTATTAAGGGTTAGTTTTGATAAAACATGTAAAATACAAAAACTAATTCGTCCAATGCAACTTGGGTTTTCCAGGTCAAAGTCTCTTATTGTTGTTATCTTGTTACAGCACAAAACTTGTCCTTGTTGAATAATGGGGGCAGAAGTTCAGATTCATCATAATATTGAGCTATAGGGTTCATTTGTGTGTTGTTTGCCTACAAACTTATGCAACTGCAGACCTTAAATCCAACGGCAGGTTAGAAGTTTGATCCCATGTTGGGCCTTACTAAACTGGACAACTCAAATTGGGGAGATCAAACACCAATGGTGGGACCTATGTAGGATTTCTATCAGCCACAGCATTAGAATTCTTAATTTTGTAAGTTGTCATAATAATAAAGTCAATCGAAAGCATGTTACTGTCATTGGTATGCATTAGCAGCACAGTCCCTTCTTGGAGACTCAATGTTCTTGACAGATACTTTTCCAACTACGCAGTTGATGGTTGTTGAAAGAAATATGCTTGAAATCTCCTTCAGTTAAAGAAGATAATAAATGAATGGGACAAAAAATACCACACTTCAATTCAATTCAATTCTTGTACCAAAAAAGGCCTCTAATAGTGGGGAGTTGCTGTATTCACTTTTGAAAGGAATCTTGGAATGCTTTGAACCTAATTGATGGAATCTTCTAGTCATATATATGCCAGCTGATTATTGTATAACCAGGTTTGGAAGGTTCAGATGCTGGCTTAGCATCTGTCCTAGAAACCATGGAATTCTGTTTGAAGCTTCGTGGTTCTGAGGCATGTGTCCTGGAAGACTTGGCAAAGGCAATTAATTTGATCCATATACGGCAGAATCTTGTTGAAAGTGGACATGCATTGTTAAATCATGCTTACCGCACACAACAAGAATATGAAAGGTACATCTCATCTCGTTCTCTTTTCTTCTCTCATGCCAGAAAATAATATCTTTAACTGTCTGAAAGGTTTGCGTGTTGCAAAAGAATGCTTCTATGTTCCTCAAGTCATCTATTAATTTTCATCAAGACAGAAAACACACTGGAAGTAGAGTGGTCAGCGGTTGAATTCCTTCTTTTGCTTAGAAGGGGTGAGGAGGACCTGAATAGCTGTTTCTGTTTTTTCCATTGTTTGTTTGAAGTTTAAAATTATTGGCCCAAGTACCAGTATGTTTTCTTATGGAGGCCTTTAAAGTACTTGAGCTTGTCTGTTATGCCAGCGTACCTTACGTATGTGAGCACCAATTTGCTTCTGTAGTGTGTGCTTTATGTTTTCAAGTTTATGGCTCCTTCATCTGTCCACTACCCTGCCCCTGCACTTTTGCGGAAATAATGAAGCACCACTCTTACAGACAAGCGCAAACACAAAAACACATCAATAGACCTAGTTGTATGTGCATTATATGTTTGTGATGTTGGTAACAGAATGGATGGATTGTTTCTAATTTGATACATCTTGCAGGACGACAAGCTACTGTTTGAATTTGGCTGCTGAACAAGAGAAAACTGTAACAGAGAAGTGGTTACCTGAGCTAAAGAGTGCCGTTATGAATGCTCAAAAATGCCTGGAAGACTGCAAATATGTCAGGGGCTTGGTTAGTAACCCCCACTAAACTTTAAATCATACATTATTATATCACTTAAAGGTGTCGTACCAAATTTAAAATGGATCTAATATATTGAATTCGTTTGGCATTGTATTATTTATAATTGTCATACCATCTATTGAGCCTCTATGAACCTAATATTGTGCTGATGCCAGATCTGACCTTCCTGTAACTGGATCCTGATAAACATCATTTTCCATGACTGATTTTCCCTTCTCGTTTGGACCATAGATGACAATTTTAAGATTAGAATCATTGACTTACTATAATTTAAACTGTTACACAGCTTGAGATTCTATCTCAAGTTGGTTTGCTTGGTGAAAACTTTCTATAAATGTGTATCTGTGGCTGCTCTTTCGATTGAAAGTAGCAAAGCTTGGTTCCATGGCTTCAGGTGTTGTACTTGTTTACTTGATTGATTGTTCACGTGAAGTTCTTAAATCATGAGGCTTCCTATCATTATGGACAAGGACAATGCTTGCTTTAATTCCATGGTTGCTGTTCCGGTTCCATGTTTTCTGTTTTCTATGGATTTTTAACATGAATGGATGCTTGAGTTGGCAGTTTAATGCTAACTTTATATGTAGTTTATGCCATGTCCAGGCATCACGGATACAGGAATTTAAGTTGAATGTGCATGGGAGGAGATCCTGAGAAAACCTTTTTGTTTTTTTTATTCTGCATTGGTAATGTTGGTTATATTATATCGAGGCAATGGTAGATTTAGCTAGTGTTCAATACAGAGGTGTCTGTTGATCTTTGGATATTTTACTATGTATTCACCTATATTTACAATTGAAGCTTGTAGAAGGACCTGCATATTATACCTTTTAATAGCCCGTTACAAAATTTGTATCACCAAAACATCAATTGATGCTTAAGGGTTCATTTCGGTTTTACAGTTAAATTTTGATACCACTTCCGGTGAAATTCGTTGTGCTTTCTACTCCTGTAGGCAGTGAGACACATAGCCGAAGAAATTCACACTCACAAACATGCACAAAATATGTAGATTGCATTCTTGGTGTGCTGTCTTGCCACACGTCATACCCATGTTTGAACACTTGCACATATTATTAGAGTTCAGAGAATGGGTAAAAAGTTTGATCCTTGAAAAGGAAACTAATGCTACTAATAGTATGTGATTGTGAGAGTATGCAAAATTTAAAAATGCAACTCTTTGGTGATTCATTTTGTGCCTTCATTTTGGTGTCTTGACTTCTACAGACTTGTGTTTGATTTTACTTATATGTATTTCTGGCTTTGAGTTTTCATTTTCAAATTTTTATTTGGTTAATCCCTGTGCAGCTTGATGAGTGGTGGGAACAACCAGCATCAACTATTGTTGACTGGGTCACTGTTGATGGGCAAAATGCTGCTGCGTGGCATAATCACGTGAAACAGCTTCTTGCATTTTATGACCAGGAACTTTTGTGATTAAAACTTTTCAGCATTTGAAGCAATCAGGTGTCACTGAAAATTTCCCTCCTTTTCTCATTTTGTGCCAATTGTGGATGCCACATAAACTGGAGAGCTGCTCGAAGCAGTTTGCAGGACAATGTAGACCTGGAAGCATGAAATCTGGCATCTTTTTACAATAAAATTTTCTATTCGGCTGGAACAGGAAGGGCAGAGGCTATTCGGTGGTTCAAGACTGAGTTCAGCTGGTGGACAATTCTGTCTATCCTTCCGCAACTATGTATAGAAGGTACTTCCGCTGGAAGGATCTCTTGTGCACAACAGGCTATTTGTACTTCTTGGTTCCTAGGTATGTTTTCCTCACATTGTCATTGTATCTTGTGAAACTTGATTAATTACATGAAAACAGTGTGATTTATTGTAGATACTTTAGTAGTTTGAATTGGTTTGATTTATCCTCAAAAGGGTAATTAATGTGTGACGGACGGATACTATTGTTTTTGTACTGCTTGTACCATAAGCATCGGACTTACTCCTCCCCTAACTCAATCAACTTGATTTAAGACATATTGGAAATTGTTAATTTATTATTTGAAGTTTTTTAATTGTGTATCAGGTAGGGGCTCGTTTTGTTAGCAAACTCGTAATTTGTGTAACTTGTTAGCAAACAGTAGGATCAAGCATTTGTGGATTCCATTAGAAATTATTCCTCATGTCTTGCCCTTAGCATTTGGGTAGATTATAGATTTTCCTTAGATTTGATTAATAACTAATCCTAATGTTATTATAAATATTTACAACTAATCCTAATGTTATTATAAATATTTACAGCTAATCCTAAGGTTGTGGTTTTATACCAAATTGAAATTAGGAATTCAAGGAGAATTTAAGAATTAGCATTTTTAATAAGATAAATAAAACAAAATGATTTTTACATTCTTGCACATATTTTATTTTATTCCTCTCTAAAATAAATTTTTTTTCTTTACACTCTCCTCGTCATATCCTATATGTTATGTAATAGCTATAAATCATGTCTGAAGACATGCTATATCAATATTGAAGCATCAAAAAAATTGATCCAACTATAACAAATTTGTCAAAATTTTTATCAAAATACATGAATTCAAAAAATTATCAACATGTGTATACACTATCGTATATGAATAATATATGAAATAAAAATTCTATTGAATCACAAATTAATTAGAATTAAATAATTCAGCTTGGAATAATAATGAGTGATTTGATAAAAATGGGTGGGAAAAATGTGTGGGGATGAAATTCAAAATACTAGCTATCTTATGTGATAGATTTGTACAATTTATAATAATTTTGTAGGAAGAATAACACTGAAAATTAAACAAAAATAAAGGTTATTAATCTATTTTTATATCAAATTGTTAAGCACATTAGTTAAGTGTCCTTGACTCAAATAACTGGAATATTATTCAACTTCACAAAGCATTGATCCGAATCATGTTACTTCAGGATACATCATAAAATAGATTATTAAAATTATTTAAGAATCTTGCTATATTCAGCACACATGAAGATGTAAAAAAGCCGAACATATCGGCTAATTCTTATTCACCTAATAATTATACTAGATTTGAGCCCCAAAAAAAAAAAAATACACTAGACATAAACTAAATCCCAAACATGAAATCTGATCCATGAAATTTCTCCTTTGTAATCACATCAATACGTTCGATCATCTCAGCATTTAAGTAGTTCTTATGATCACCAACCTCACCTTGTCTGAAGAAGGAATCATAAGGCAATTCTAACCAACTTGGCAAGAGACTAGACTTGTTCACCTCATGATTCTTTAAAGTTTCAATTGAGCAACTCTTTACAATCTCCTCCACTTCTTTATCATCACCCTCAAAGGGACACCCCAAGAACTCAGCTAATTCCTTAACTTGAATTATGGGGTCATTTGTCAATTCCTCATAAGTTATGAAGAACAGTTTCTGTGGTCTCTCCAAGCTCTCTTTCCTGTATTCCAGAACATGGTCATAGTAAGGTCCGTAAGGTACAACACCTCTGCAAAACTTCTCTACAGCCACCTCTAATGGCCATGGCTCTTTTTCAGATATCTTCGCCCTCTTCACGAAATGCCAGAAGGAAATGAGGGCGTCCTTGGGATTTCTAGTAACGTAAACAACCCTACACTCTGATGAATTCAGATTATCAGCCAGAATCTTATAAGGTATGTGGGTATTGAAGATTCTAGGCCCAGCTGGTGGAGCATTGGCTATCGGAATATGGGAAGGCAGTAGTGGTGGTGGTGGTGTTGGTGGTGGTTGTGGTGCATAGACTTGGATTTCTAGTGATGGAACAAGTTCATGGGGATGGTTCAAGATCAAGGACTCTTTGGAAGAGCGATGAATGATGGAAAAAAGGAGGGACTTGAGCCATGTGGTGCCGGTTTTGGGGAAAGAAGCTAAAATTATATCAGTGGGAAGGGGTTTGAACTCGTTCAAGACTTGTTTGGTTCCTTGAAGGTGAGGAAGCCTGAACCAGTAGCCCTTGAATTGGTAGAGTTCAAGATTTTCCCACCATTTTTCTTCTAGCAAGGATGAATTATCATACTCTTGGTTCTTATGAGAACTCTCCATCACTTGAGAAGGAAGATAGATAGTGGCCATAGCTGATGAATGAGCTACTTATATATAGTGCCAAGGGTTATCAAATAAATGAAAGGTAACAAATTAAAAAGCCAAAAAACTAAAAAAAAAAAGACAGTAGTTGGCAATTTTACTCATTTCTTTGTTGAGACTGATTTATAAATTCAAACACACGATACTTTACCCTTACTTTGCAAAGACTAATTTATAAATTTAGACTTGAGTTTTTTTTATCATTTTAGGTCCGATATTGAAGAAAGAAATTGAAAGGAGGTCTTCGATTTACTACATAGTGCACAGGCCATGTGCCATAGTTGATTATATAGCTGATATTTAAAGCGCCTTTTATCAAACAGTTGGTATGTATCTCTGAAGGACACTCTTCTTCCCACACACCATGGGTCTTGAAGCAAATTTTTTGGGGCTTCCCTTCCCTTATCTGGTAAGGGAGTTGAAGCCTGAGCAGAAAAATAAATGTTCTCAGTGTTACTAGGGAAGAAATATGGTGGAATTAACTTTATTTATAAGTTATATGGGTCAACACGAACACGATACGTAAATAAATAACTCGGCATAACACAATATGATTAGTTAAACGAGTTAAATTATGATTGACTAGTACCCGACCCAACGTGACCCAAATGTCACTTCTAATCTAATACACCAAACACTTGCTCCCAGATGAATTCCAACCAGAATTGGGAAGAAAGCTTTGGCAGTTCATTAAGACCTCCTCAAGCACGTAAAACTGTTTCATATGCCATGTTCCTAGTGCCATAAATTCACAGGTCCTGTTACGGTATCAAAAATATTTTTTTTGGTAGAATTGCGTTTGGTGTAAAATTTTATTTATTTTATTAGTTTTTCAATCAATGGTTGCAAATCATTTAATTCAAAATTGATGGCCAAGATTAATGGAGGCACAGTACTGAAGTCTTTACCTAAATTCACATTCCACCTCAACGGACTTTTGGCGTCATTACCGTAAGTACGTTGCTTAACGGATCCTCCCTATATGATTTTGGTTAGTGGATCAAGACGACATTGGCAATTTCGCATACCCCCGTAACCGCTACCGTTAACAACCATTATCACTGTCGCCGCCGTTCATCGTAACAATTCACCGCCACCACTCAATTTTTAATATTTATTAAAAAATGAGACAGATAAAAAAAAATTAATTGATAATCCAAATGTTCTTTTCGATAAAGTACTTTTTATATGTGTGTTTTTTTGCTTGAGCATCCAAACAATGTTTATTTAATGAAATTTTTTTTTATAAGGTATTTTTGAAAAATATTTATTTAACAAGTGTTTTTTGATTTTTATAAGTTATCTCAAACACAACCTTATGCACTGTGCACGAATTCAGATTACTTATAATACATTTTGCTTTAATTCTATTCAATGGTGATTATCCACCATAAATGAGTAAATGACAGGAATAGCCTACAATTGAAATGAATTGAGTAAGAATGTAAATCTTGATCCAATTCCAAAATCATAACTGAGTGTTTGTTTATATAGCTCAACAGATAAACATACTTCACACATCTATGATATGACTCAATCATAAACTTGTTATAATCCACATACATACATCAAGTTCTTTACAAATTACATGCCTCAACAACATTGGTCAAAACTTAGATAAAAACCAAGAAAAATGGCAATTCGAACATTTGCGAACTTTCTCGCCACTTGTTAATATTGAAAAGGGAAAATAATATGGGTGAGTATCAACAGTTCGGTGGAGTAATTCAATGTCAGAAAAACGAGTTTGAAAATAAGTAATTTGACATGATTGAGCATCAAAATAGTTCATTTCATATATAAATAATAAAACAACAAACGTTAAGCGAAACAATTAAGTTTGAAAATAGTAATACGTTCACAACATTAATACAGTGCCACACCAATGAGCTAATAATCCTAATAGACTACTTGGGGTTAATATGATCCATATGAACATACGATCTAATAATTTAGGAGACTTGCACCCCAAGGAAGATACGCTCTCAAGTCAATACGATCTAATTTGGTACCCAAGTCCGAAGACTAACTAGGTCACCCAGGTATTTACGAACTCAATGAGAAACCATTTACAGCCTCAACCTGGAATGTAAACCTTTTACCACTCGATTTGTGTGCACTTACATTTAGTTCAAAAGATCCCGATATTTCAATCAATATGACCAATACGAATATTTTGAACGGTTGTGTGAAACCGCACTTAAACCCTAATTCAAATCTAGATTCCAAATCATTATCACAACACTCAATCATATAATTTAAAAACACATTAAATGATCATAAATAACATATGGAATAATTTAAAAATAAGTTTGAAAAGTATTGCCTGTTTTGGAATTGAGAAATCCTACTAGTTGCAATATTTCAGTCCAAAATTGCCAAAAATGAAACGATGTTATTTTTCAATAAAATTTCATACACATACTCAATTTAACTATTTAAAAGTAAATATAAAATTTATTAGGCAAAAATCACCCAAAATATCCAGATATCAGATTAACCTCAATTTTTCCGGGACCTCCGTATGGACATTACAAAATTTTTGGAACCAACCATAGGTCCATCGGACACCGGAAGCACCACCGGGGGGTCAGTGGTATCTCTGTCACTTCATCTTCCTCTATTGTCTTCTTTGACCAAAACTCAAGGTACCCCCTTTCTATTTCAACCACCCTAATTCTATCCTCTGTTGCTCACTCCACAGTACACCATTTATCCTAATTTCAGAATCTAAACATACATCTCACTCTATCAAACCCCATAGGTTTTATGCTTCGGATTAAGTTTAAAACCATTCAAAAATTAGGTCAAAGTTCAAGATAAATAAGGGTTTCAACTTGAGGCTAGGCCCGCAACTCCTATTTTCACCCCCCCCCCCCCCCCCCCCCAAAATGATCTCTAAACCTATTTTTGAAGCCACCAATGGATTCCTAAAGTCCAGTTTAGCTAGGTAACACCCTTCTTCAAACCATTCAAAAATTAGGTCAAAGCTCAAGATAAATAAGGGTTTCAACTTGAGGCCAGACCGCAACTCCTATTTTCACACCCCCCCCCCCCCCCAAATGATCTCTAAACCTATTTTTGAAGCCACCAATGGATTCCTAAGGTCCAGTTTAGCTAGGTAACACCCTTCTTCAAAGCTAGACACCCAAAATGCAAAAATCAAAAGCCCACTATGGTAAAAACTTCATCACTACGTCCCCACCACCTCCGACCAGGACAAGTTTCAAAATTACCTCCAAAGTATTCCTTTACCTCCCCACAACACACTCATGCCAACCAATTAAACCAAAATGACCTCAAACTCAAAACCAATTCAAAAGAACTTAGAACCCGAAAATTGAAATCATGAATTCGAGCAATTACAGTACATGAAAGGAAATTCGAATGATACTAGGAAATTCTTAGCCCTCAAATTAACTTATTAGCATACCTCTTGTTCGAATTTGCTTCTATCAAAACCCGAAACTTCAAGCCAAGATTTCTCTCTTTGGCTTCTCTCTCCTCTCCTTCTCTTTCTTTGTTGTTTCTCTCTCTACCAGACTACCTAGTAGCTGATGATGACTCCCCCAAGCTGCTGGGTGAAAGTCGTGCAGCTAGGAGACCTCCCAAACGGCCAGCAAGCACCTTGGAAGTGCTGGCCATGCAATGGCACTTCCTTAATTTCCTCCAAATCCAAAAAATAATTTTTAATATATATATAATTACATACATGTTAAAACAAGCCCAAAAAAAATATACATTAAATTTTTAAATTTCAAATTGATATTTAATTTCATCCTTGAACCTCATTCCCGCAACCTTAACTCCCTCGTACGCAACAATCCTATTTCATTTGAATTCGCGTTCTGACTCGTTATTTCTTCACTAGTCACGCACCTATCCTAAACTAACACCTTATTCATCTCCAGAACACCTACGCGAACACTCTAAAGCTATAAATTTATAGTTCGATTGGCCAAACTTTGAACCCCTAATCACTCTTGTAATCGTTTTTGTCCCAATTTTTGTTTATTGAAAAGTGGGTCGTTACAAAGAATGCATTGAGAGAACACACTTTCTAGTGTCTGAGCTAAGACATAGTGTAGCTTCGTGGAGCTGACCCCACTGACATTTCGAAAGAAAGTAATGCCGGCTAGGCTATTTGTTATAAGTTCTGGTGTTTTTTAAAAATTAATACCACACCTAGAATCTTATAATTATTGCACAAAAATAATATATCAGGTCAATTTCAGAATATCTAAAAAAATAGGGTTGTACAAACTTAAGGAACCCAATTAATTTCTCTGTCTCTTCCCAAATAGGAGAGGCAGAGACAGAGAGAGAGAGCAAAATGAATAAAGAAAAGGAGAGAAAAATTCAATTTTTTGTTTTTATAATTGCATGATATTGACAGGTAAAATATCTTACAATTATTTAGGTAAATGATTGATTTCAATAGGACAAAAACGCAACAATAATGTATCGTAGGTAATTGACCCCTAGTAAATGAATTTTTTTTTTGGATCGGTTAGTAAATCCAATCAAATCCTAAATTCCAAAGTCCAATTGGATTGATACCTGATCCAAATTATGGATCCATATATAAATAAATGATGTAATGGAATTGCTATTTGATCGAACTGAATTGATATTATGATGTAATTTGCTAAAATTTAGCTCAAATCATATCTTATTTGCAGATCAATTTTTAGGGCTTTTTATCGGATTTGGATATGGATTAAGAAAATAAAAGCTACAAAAAAAATTGGGTCAAATTCAAATCAAAGTTTTTCAATTGGACTCGGATTGATTCAATTTCGGATTCACCGACAGGTATCCCCTAAATCCGAACAATCCAACCTTACTAATCATTCAAATGTAGGCGTGATACCACTGCAAACCATCTCAATCACTTCTTGTTCATTGCCCCTTTAAAAAGTTGGGCAAATTATACTTTAACACCTCAAACTATGTATTTATTTTCATTTTCTCCCTTGAATTATTAATTTTTTCATATTTTCTCCTTAACTATTTGAATTATTTCACGTTGTCTCAATCACAAACATTTGCTATCTTTCTAGACGGAAATTGCCAAAGTGTCAGAACAAAGTAAAAAAATTGTATAATTCAGAGAACAAAATAAAATAATTTTATGTTAAATTTATAACAGACGTTAAAAATTAGAGGCGTGTGAAACTAATCATGCACATAGTTGAGGATGTAATGTTACAGTTGAGAAGTTCAGTGTAAGTTGTCCTAAAAAAATAAAGAATCTTCAATTTCATTTCAACTGTTGATTTATATAATTGAAGCTTTTAGACACATCATAGAGTCACCCCTTGGTATCAGATTCTTGTTGCATATCTCAGAGAGCAAAAGCTAGCTAGAACCACATGGCAGCTACCAATTCACTAAAGACTTCCTCTTCCTCTATGTCTTCCTTATTATTCCATGACCTCCCCAGAGAGAAGTTTATGGGATTTGACTACTGCCAATGGGAAGGGTTTTGGTACCCCCTCGTTTCCTTGCTTCCGCCATGGAAGCTTCATCAAGCTTCGTGGCATGTGACGATGATGTCATCCTGGCGTCCTCCATGAAAACGGGCACTACTTGGCTTAAGGCACTCATACCATGCATCATGAACCCTAATTCTGGTGGCGAATGTAGCGATGATGACGATGACCCTTTGACCGAAAGCCATCCCAACATGCTCATGCCTTCTGTAGAGATCCAAATCTATGGTGAAAATTCTACTTGCAGTGTCTCCGATATGCCATCTCCTCGGCTTTTTCGAACCCATCTGCCCTACCCAACGCTACCAGAGACCATTAAGACTTCAACTTGCAAGGTTGTGTATATTACTCGCAACCCCAAGGATGCTTTTGTGTCTCTGTGGCACTTCCTTAACACATTTAAAACAGCAGAAGAGGGGCCAGCCCCCATTGACGAACCTTTTGAGCTCTTTAGCAATGGGGTTCACCCTTTTGGGCCATTCCATGATCATGTTCTAGGGTACTGGAAAGAGAGTTTAAAAAGGCCTGAAAAGATATTGTTCTTGAAATATGAAGAGATGAAGACAGACCCAAGAGGGGAAGTGAAGAAATTGGCTTCATATCTTGGAAGGCCTTTTGATAAGGAGGAAGAGGTTGATGAGGTATTGTGGAGATGTAGCCTAGAAAGGCTAAAAAATTTGGAGGTGAATAGAAAAGGGTTTGACCCTTGGGTTGGGGCACCAAAGAGCTCTTATTTCAGGTTGGGTGTTGTTGGGGATTGGAAGAACAGCTTGTCTGAGGATAAGAAGGACAGACTTGATGAAATTACAAGCATGAAACTGGAAGGATCTGGCTTGGAGCTCTAGATTTTCATGTATTCTATATGCATTTGACTTTTGTTGTTACAGTCAGTCAACATATTGTTAATTGACCTATTTGAAAAAGCATTTTAGCTCGTATTGACAACATCTATTGACCTACTGTTAGTGATTTAAGTGTAAGTGTTGATATTTATTAGAATTTATTTTCTATTCGGTATTTTGCTATTTCCTTTGTGTGGAAAGTAAAGTCTGTTAGACCAAAAACAGTTTTTTAGTGTAAAAAATAGAATTTTTGGTCAATTTTGAGCTTAAATTAAAGTGGAATCCATTAGTTATTTCAAATAAATTTTCGTGAATTCATATTTATTCTGTGAGGAGTATAACGTGGAATATTCACTTGCTCAAATCGAGTAAGAAATGAATGAGAAAATAGGCTCCAAAGTGACCCTTTTAAAGAGTAAAAATAGAAGATGTGCAATGTGGGGTTTGACACCAATCCCACATTGGTTGAGTAAGAAATTCAACATGAGTATATATAGCTCAAGTTTACTCTATAGGTTGGGCCCCAAGGGGTACCACACGCGCACGCCGCCTGGCCGAGCTTGGGAGCGGGTGTGCTTTAGACCAAACCTTATCTTTTTGGAGAAAATTCATTTAATTAATTGGGCATGAATTTCTTAACCCGGAATTAATTTCGGTAGTTGCTCTAGTCCGAACCTGTCGAATAGTTCGAATTTGCTCCAGTCCAAAATTTTCAAGATGTGACTATTCATGAAGAACAGTTATTCAAGGTGTCTACTGGCTGGGTCGGTTTTAGTTTATGGGTTGTGTCCTTTAGTAAGGTGATTGTCCGAAAAGTCATCAATGCATCTATAAATACCCAGGTCATGCATTCGTTTTATTCATTCAGATCACCAGACTATTTTCGGCATTAAGTGTATTATATTTTGGCATTTTAAGGTAGTACATTTAGAGAGTACACGACACAAGTTTTGGTTCGTTGTACGAACAGATTGAAATGCTATTTCTGTTTGTGGAAGATCATTGTATTCTGGGAGGCAGGCGCTTGGATTCCATAAGTACCGTGTGTCGGGCCGAAATCTGTCTTAAGAATATAGTGTTAAACACTAGTCTCGATCTACTACGAGTTCAATAACAGTTCCTGTTCTATAACCGGGTTAGTTTTTACATTAATTTGATATATAGTTACATGTATTTGTTTTATTTGTGTTATGGTTCTACAGTTCACATTTACTGTTTGTTTTATTTTAAGTTACATGATATCAGAAATATCAATAAGTGATTTTACGATTTTGGAACACCAGAATCAACAAATTCTTGGTAATTGAGGTTTGTTATTCCCCTTAGATTCACATTTTAATTTTTAATGACTTGAATATAAACTGTAAAATTAAATCCGACGAAAACGTAATGGAATCCATTGGAGTTTTGTTTTGTGAGTTTTGTGGCTTTAACTGTAATTTTGTTTTTGGGTAAGCACTGTAAATGTAATTTAATGTGGAATAATATTCCAAGATGATTGATATTTAAAGGCAACACAGACCACCTGATTTGTTGTTAACACCTCCCCTCCCTACCGCACCGCAGTGGGAGTAAAAATTGGTTGTGACAGTTATAACGTTTATATTGTGACGTAATCAGTCAATAATAATACAATAATTAAGTAAACTCAACCCCACTCTTTCAAATAACTATCCCTCCAAGGGCGGATTCAACATCCCCCCACTGAAATTTTGAAAAAAAAAATTGAATGTTTTTTAAAATTTTAGAATTTTTTTTTTAAAAAAAGTTGCCCCCTCTACTAGTTTTATAAAAAAGGTAATTTTATCAAAGTAATATTATTGAGATCTAATTAGAGAAGTTAAATAATTGTTATCATTCGATTATTAATAAATCTCAATATTTAACGGGATCCAATACGTGCTAATTCAATAACAGTAATTGATTACATTTTTAAATTAAATTTCTAAATTAAATACATTGATAAAGTGGTATTCTTTCATAAAAAAAAGAAAAATTAAACTTACACTTTCCTAATATAACTTAAATTAAAAATGTTACAATGAGATTTTTTTATAAATATCAATAAATCAATTATTACAACATAAATAATTAGTTATTACATCATTTGAATAACATATCAATAATAAATGAGTAAGCAACCAATAAAAAATTTATCGTGACATTTAACAATGGTTGACTCATCCAACTAATCAAGAGTAACCAATAAAACTATGTTTAGTAGATTATTGTTGCAATGAGTTTTAGTGATTTTTAATTGATCATTCTTCTTAACTTGACTTTCTTAGTCAATACTCTATTTTTCTAACTTCTTTTTGTCTCCTCCTCTCTATTATTTTTGTTAATATGAATTGCAATTAGATCTTGATATTTGAAATCATAAAAAATTGGGTTTGAGCTTAAAAATCATAATATTAGAAATTAATTTTTAAATTTAGTTTACTATATATTGGAATTTATCTATTATGAATTATATTTTTAATTAAATTATTCGAACAATTGAACTTTAACAATTTGTCTACGATTATTCAAAGTATTCTTACATCTAAGTTTTAATAAATTTTGTGGAAAATGGATTTTTTTCTAAGTTATTTCTATTAATTAAATGAATATTTCTAGTCCTAATATATTGTTTGTCAAAAACTCAATGATAAATTATTGAGTTTGTGTTAAAAAAATTATGGAGTTTGATTCAAACTAAACATATTGATTTTAATTAATTATGGATAAATTTTTCAAAAGAAAAATAATATTGAAATAGTTTTAGATTACCCCACTATGAATAATTTTTGGCTCTCTTTCTTCCATGGAAGATAGTAACCGTTATTTATTTTTAAAAAATAGGATTCACTTATTTACTTCTTTGTTTATTATTAAACGACTATACTATACGATAACGCTGATATAGAATAAAAATTAGGTGAAGCTCATTTAACCCATGTTTTTGGTTTAAAAAAATCAACTGAAAATCCAATCCGGATCAATCCGGAAATTTTTGTACGTAAGATGGAGGAGAGTTGTGGCCCCATGATGTACGAGTGATTTTCAGTTTTGTCTTTTACAATGGTGGGACAACATATGTGGTCCTATACCAGCAGGTATTTGATTCAACAGTCCTCTTCAAGAGTTCAAGTCTTTCTCTTTCTTTCTCACCCAAAAAAAAAAAAAATATATATATATATATATATATATATATATATGTGTGTGTGTGTGTGTGGTCCTGCAGCTTTTTTCTCTAGGACTTGTCTTTTCTTTGAAATAAATATAATTATGGTGTGTTGCAATCTTTTCTCCTTCTAACTGTTATATTCTATTTGGTTCGTGGATGAAAAATTAAAAGAATAAATAAATATAAAAATATATTTTTTATCTTTGAAGAAAAAATAATATATATATATATATATATATATATATATATATATATATATATATTTTTGTCTTTGATACGATGGATAAAAACTTAAAAGAATTAATTTTTTATTATTTAGTATCAGAAGAAAAGTGAAAGGAAATAAAAAATATATATACTTAATTTACCATTATACCCATATATATATAAATAATTGTTTATTATAAATAAACTTAAGGGATTCAACGTCACTCTAATTAGTTATAAAAATAAAGAAACAAATAAATATAAATATGTATAACAAAAATAATAGCCAACAATTCAAGCTATCTGTAAATAGACAAAATTGTAAATTTATAACGATTTAAGTTTAAATTTTAAATTTATTATTAATCAGTGTTTGAATCATAATAGACTCCACTTGAATTTATAGTACATGTTCCACTTCGAAGAGAAATAGAAAGAAATTTATTTGGCCTTACTTCTTACAATATAATTTTTTTTTTTATTGTTCGATATGGACAAAAAATTACATATGTGATTTAGAATTTTATTATAAAAAATAATTAAATAATGTTATCAGGTGTCTTACCATGTATAAGTTATATAACAATATTTTAAAATTGTGCCCCTTATACAAATGGTACTTAACATGATAGTTATAGAGAATATATAATTAATAAGGGTATAAATATAAATTAACAAAATTACTTTTTGCAGCTAACAATCCTCTCCCATTTTTCGCTCATATTTGGGTAGATCAAAAATGGTGGGGCCAAAGAAAACTCTTTCCATCCCTTTTTTTCTTTCCATCCATTTTTCTTTTCTCACCAAATAATGAAAAATGCTTCACTCCCTCATATTTTTCATCCACCTACTTTTCCCTCTTACGAAACCGGGAATTAGGGTGTGTTTGGATCTCAGGTTAAAAGATAATAACACTTGCAAGATGGAATTAAAATAAGGTGAAGCCCATTTAACCAATATTTGCAAAGTAAAAAAAATCGACTAAAAATCCTATCCGGCTCAATCCCTGAACCGGAATGAATAAATTAGCAAGTAGATTAAAAGTTAGGAAAAATTACATCTAGATTTTCTGAGATTTATCACATAATCACTTAGACTCCCTAATATTTAAAATATTACACGCATACCCTATGAGATTTGTACACGTGTAGACACCAGTCGTCAATGTTCGTTAATATATTTGTTAATAAATTATACCTAGACCCTATAAAATTTGTAAACGTGTAACACTTAAACCATCAAATTTAAAATATTACACTTAAACTAAAAATATTTTAATTAAAAATAGAATATAAAATATTTTAAATTTTACAACTAAAATTTATGTTTTATTATGTCATTTATTGAAATAAAATCAAAAATAAAAATCTAATTATTAAAAAATTTATAATTAATATTATTGATATAAAAATTTAGACGACTTCCACGTTAGTTAATTCAACTTTGATCACCTGAACACTAACACGTATTATTAGAGTTCAGAGAATGGGTAAAAAGTTTGATCCTTGAAAAGGAAACTAATGCTACTCATAGTATGTGATTGTGAGAGTATGCAAAATTTAAAAATGCAACTCTTTTGGCAATTCATTTTGTGCCGAGTAATATTATATGAATTTAAAAATTAAATTTAAAAATTAGACTTGATAATCACAATTATTGAATAGGTAGTGAATTCAAATAAATATTGAGATCCACAGTGAAACCAATAGTTGTAATTATCAAGTCTAATTTGTAAGTTCATTTAACATTACTCTTTTGTGCCTT